AACGAAACCTAAATGAACGAATAAATAGGCTAAATAAACTTATAGGTTCAAGGTCATTCAGAATGCATAGTGATGATTACAGGGGCACACAAAAATATTCATAGAAAAAGACAGAGATTGAGTGAATGAGCGTAAAGCGGCATTGTGACTATAAACAACGCAGCCCTGACCAACGTAGAGACTTGTAGCTCCGTCGGGGGACTCGAGACTTACCTTGGGTGAGTCCCCAGCATGCAATAGAGAAGATAGAGACATAGAGTGTCACGATGCAATATGTACACAGTCACATGACATCACGTGCTGCATGCAACAAACAAAACATTCAGGAGCTGACATTCTGACGACTTCATCTTCATTGCTTCTTGTCTTCTGGGGAGCCTACTTCCTAACATCTATGCCTACTCTCCTGTTGGTTCAACTACCTAGTCAATATCTGCTGAGAAAGCTTTTAAACTAGAAACTCATTATTTTTTATACTATGGTAATTTGTTCACAATGTAAAAAAAACTAGAAGATTTTTTTAAATTCAAAAACTAGGAGATTTTTTATTCAAAAATAACTACTATGTAATAAAATATTAAAAAAATGTATCAAGTTGATTCGTTAAAGGAAATCTATTTTTGATGACCTATCTAAACCTATTAATAATGTATTAGATTAATGAATGATATTAAAATTGATGTAATAAAAATTGAAATAGCAGAAAAGTAATAGTTAAAGTAGCATCAAGATAAAACGGAACACAAAGAAAAGAATAGATATTGAAAAGATATATAGTAGGACAGTAAAAGCTCATAGCTTATTAATGTTTGTAAGAATAAAGGTAGTAAACTTCTTAAGAATGATAAATATAGAAATGTATGTAAGGAGTACATAATGTATGTAAGGAACACTAAGAAGATCAAAACAATAAATAGGACTAGATAAGAGACTACAAAAACAAAAAATTAGGAACTAGGAACTAGTAAGAAGTAGGTAACTTATTTATTTATCCTAAAGGTGCTTATTTATAGACAGAAAGGGAAGAAGGGACAGAAATAGCTGACATCAATTTACCGTCTAACATCCCTAACTTCCTTATAAAAGATATTTTCAATAAACTTCTTATTGTTGGAACTTGTCAACTTTTGTGAAAATGAGGGTTGTAGACAGTACTTGCTGTCAATCTTTTCCGAACCTACTTACTTTGTCTAAAAGCTGCTTTAGATAACATTTGGAGTCTTTAACTTACAGCTAATATCACATATTATTTTGGATTGTTAACTTATAACTATGCAAGATTTATTTTATTTGTTTACTTTTGGTTAAGCAATAATATTTTAATTCCTTCTCTGATGTATTGAATTTAATTTAGTTTGTCACAGCCCTTATTAGTATTTAGGCTATAATTAAAGTTTGAGTAAAAATGAAAACAGGAGTTTTAAGTTAAATACAAGAGCCAAGTAAAGGGGTATCTGTTTAGGCCTATTATGGAACTGCCACTGCTTTGGACATAAATCCCTATACTGTTGAGAAAAAAAGACCCTTATGTGTGCAAGTAAGTATACATGTTTGTATGTATTTAACAAGGCAATACAATTGACAATCCCATTGACAGCAAAATATGGGTTTGGGTAAGAACTTTCAGCTTTGAACGATTTGTAACAAAAAATAAGATGAGCAGTTCATAAAGAGGATTTAGTATTTAAAGACTGCTGATAGAACAACAAGAGGGAGAGATAACGGCAGAGATATTTTGGTAAAAGTGGAAATTTTAGCAATTTTCATTTAAACTTGTGGACAGATCGCTATATTCTTTTCAACTAGAAAACCAATACATTTTACAAAGCAGCTATGATTATAATAATTTTACAAGGCTGCTACTTAAAAATATTTTTTTTTATTTGTGAGTTTTGAATTTATTAATATTTTAAGTTTTTAAGATAAATGTTCTTTAGTATTGACAAGAATTAAATATAGCAAGAGTGTCTAATATTGACTTATAGTAAACAAGACCAGGTATGAACTGTTTTCTTTCAAATATTTAATCAAAATTGGCATTTAAAGACACAAAATTAAATACATCTTGGGAAATGAGTGGGATAGCAAAAAAAGTTACGGTACTTAACTCAATATACACCAGAGAAGGGAACATTATAGACAAGGAAATCTTGAATTTGAGAGCATGAAAAATTAACTGCTAGGGTTTTTAATCAAATTGATCATTAATTTGTAGAATACTAATAGTGAGAAGATATTCAGCCTAAGTAAGATATTCACCACAGTATCTTTGAGAGAAAAATAGTCACACTTATTCCCAAAGTTTGTTAGTGATAAATATTCCTGATATCCTGCACTTAAAACAATGTTAACTACCACACTTCCATAATGCATGAACTTGTTTCTTTTTTTATGTATAAAGTGGTAATGATTTTCTAAAAAAAAAAAAAATACCCCCGCCGCAGCAAACCTGCTGACTAAATGAATTTCCACTTGTCTGAATTGATTTTCAATTAAATCTAGGCTAAATAACATTAGGTTTAATGAGTACCTAGGTTTGCTGCTACAAGGAAACTAATAAAGTGTACTTTTTAGAAAAAATATTAATAGCTTAGTATAAATTAATAAATGAGCCAAGTTTGATCAAGATATATCCATAAACAAGCAAATACAACATTTTACAATATTCTCCATAAGAATAACATGGGAATTTTAAATTTACAATTCTTTGAATTTTCTCCGTTACCAATAACCGTACAAAACCACATTGATATTCTAAATCTTTTATATGTTCTTTAAAAGGGTTTATAGAGAGAAATTGGGAAATTTTGTGTTTTGAGGGTCAAAAATGGGAAAAACCATTTTTTACCCCATAAAACCCCCTGTAAAACCCCGTTCCCATGGTCCAATCATGCTGGTTCGTGAACTCATTCAAGTTTATCCCGCCTTACACTTTTGAACCAAATTTCATTAAAATCGGACAAAAATTACTCAAGTTATCACGTTCACAGACATATATATATATGTATACAAATTTATATATATATAAATCTATATATATATATACATATATACATTTATAAAAATTTAAACAAATGGTGTTTTTGGCCTCTGGGGACATCAAAATGAAAAAGCAAACCGGTCCCGGTCCTAGGTCTTACAGTGCCACCTACGGTAATAGCTACTTCCCTATAGGGAAATTCACAAAAAAAAAAAACCAAAAAAAATATGAAATCAATCTATTACAGGTTAAAAAGGTAACATAAAACAATTTTAGCGAATTTCCCATAAATAGGGAATAAGCTATTACCGTAGTACTCATGGTAAGACCTGGACCCGGGACCGATTTAATTTTTCATTTTGAGGTCCCTAGAGGCCAAAAACACCAGCCGTTCAAATTCATATATATATATATATATATATTTATTATTATTTATAGATATATGTGTGTCCGTTAGCGCAATAACTCGAGCAAAATGATCCGAATTTGATAAAATTTGGTACAAACGTGTAAACCTACGTTTATTTGAACGAGTTCGCGAACCATCATAATCGGACCATGGTAACTGGGGTTTATGGGGGGTTTTATGGGGTAAAAATAGGGTTTTCCCATTTTTGACCATACAAACAAAAAAATTTGCAATTTCTTTCTAGACTGTTTTGTAGAGCTTAAAAAAATAAATAATTTAGTATATTGAAGCGCTGTTGTATGCCTAACGGTCACGGAAAAAATTAAAAAAAGTGTAATTTAAAATTACCATGTTATTCTTATGGAGAAAATTAAAACTGTTGTAGTTTAATTGTTTATGGATATATATTGATACCATTTGGCAAATTTATTTATTTCATCCTATACTATTGACGTATGGTCAAAAACACTTTTTACCTTCCCCGTAGCAGCAAACCTAAGCACTCGTTAAATCTAATGTTATTTAAATTGGGAATAATTATGTCTTATTTATGGAAATATTTGAGTAAAAATGTAATTAGACAAGTTGAAATTCGCTTAGTCTGCAGGTTTGCTGCAGTGGGGGTAATTTTTTATCCTATGTGATTCATTGAAATTAATTGCAGGAGATTAATGTACTGATTGGATATCTAAAATATAAATTTGTAGCTTACCGATGAATAAGTTTAAAGACCTAAACAACATTAATTTTCATAAATATAGGCCATTAACATTTTTTTGTATCTGACCTAAGAAAATTAAATGTCTTTGAATATGACATTTTTTCATGGTTTTTATTCACTGCCAGATAAGTTAAAACCCAAGTGTATCTAATACAAAAACTTTATTGGCATACAGTATGATAAAGTTCATGGAAAATGGAAGTGGAATTCTAATTAAAGCCCTCAAGCCTAATTTTCTACTACATTATAGAACCATACCACCAACAATTAGAGAAATTAATTATTTTGAAATATTTTTTTTTCAAACTGATTTTAACTTGTAATTTTGTGAACAATCAAAACAAAAACAATGAAAATTTTTAAGTAAATGCTATTTTCATAAGACAGATTGTAAAAGTTACTAGTAAAATATAATGATTATAACTTAAAATTACTGACTTACAAGCAAAGATTTCAAATAATTCCTAACTTTATTGTTGGTGGTCAATAGCTAGACTTACCATAGACTGCACTGACACTTCATCATTTAAACAGATTTTTTAATGGTAAGTCATCAGTAGAGATGAGATATTTTATAATTTATTTGGTAGTTTTTTTTATCTGTTCTATTAGCAACCAAAATTAATATTTTAAGTTTACTAAAAAACATAACTAACAATAATAACAAAAATTATTGAGGGATAAATGTTGAAGTGTAAGCCCAACTACACGTAAACAGAAGCAACTGAGAGGGTAGTAGAGTAAAGAGAGGTATAAAGAGTGAAGGTTAAGTGAGATAAGATGTGTTATATGTTGTTGTGGAGGGGTCCTGGGATCATCTTGTCGTCTTGGCGTCGCGTCAGCTCCTCATGCCATGCAGCAAGCAATAGAAGAAAGACGTTTCACCCTACCTTGTACAGGAGTGCAGCCGGTGAATGGGTCTCCAGTGTAGCCAGCGTTGCACGAACACACCGGAGTGTGGTTTATAACGGAACACTGAGCATTATAACCGCACGATCCCGGACACGGGTCGGAACACTTTTGGTTTATACACGCTAACTGACTAGAACACTCAGGGTTAATCGTGCACTCGGGACGACAGTTTGGCGGTGAACCGATATAGTTGGATAAACACGAACATGCTGGACTTTCACCGCGCACTTGACACTCTGCGTTAGGTCCGCACGGCGAAGGTCGGCACGGGTCCACTGGCGTCATCGGCACTGGAGTTGCTGTGAACAGACAAAGTTAACCAAAATGTGACTCAGGCTATATGCAATCACAAGTGAGGAAAACAGTGTTATCAATTAATTGTAGTTACAAATTTTAGTTATTGAATTGTTAAGTGTGAAACTGTTAACCTATTTATATTTGTTTGTAGCAGAAATTTAAATTGCTAAACTTGAAGAGCTATCTTTACAGTCTCTTGATAATACATGTAAAACTACTCTGGTGTACATACTAATAATTAACTCCAACTAAAACAATATTAAGAAATACCAGTTCTATGTATTTGAGCTAAACAGATACAAAATCTTGAATAAACTGAAAAAAAAATTAATTTCAATGTTTACTTACGAGGTATCGGGAAGCACTGTCTGAATGGATCGCCTGTGTTGCCAGCCGCACAGCTACAGATGGGGTTGTGGTTGACCACCTGGCAGCGAGCACCTTGTCCACAAGTGCCCGGGCACGGGTCACTACACTTGCGGTTGAGACAAGCCTGTGTGAGAGGGCACTCCGCACTCACTACACACTCTGGCCGACAACCTGTCAAACAATACATCTCTTATTCTTATCCCTTATCTTAACACTTCTGCTTATAGTTAAATAATATTTTTGCCATTGCATTTTCATCCTAATAGAGTAGGGCCTATATTGATTGTTAAGTTGGAACATATCAGTCTCGCTGATACAGTTAGCTTGTCACTGCTATTTATCATACCACATGGCACATTTAAAAATAAATTCTTATATTATCTAGCAGTGGAATGGAAACAATATTGGATGAAATCGGATTTAAAAGGGAAGAAATTTGAAAGAGATTTCTAATATTACCAGGTGGTTGACCGATGTATGTTGGCTGACAGGAGCACACTGCTACTCCATTGTTGACTCTACACAAACTGTTTGGCCCACAAGGTGAGGGGCTGCAAGGGTCTATAGGCGCAGCTTCTGCAAATATTTGTACCACTGTAAGTCCAATGTTGTAAATTGATGTTTGATTACAGTAGTGAAATTGAAGATACAAGTTTAAAACAACCATAAACACATTATGTAAAAAATTTGACATTTTACAAATTTGTATTTAATATTCATAATAGAATCTGTTCAATTGTTTTCAATTTCCAGTTAGAGATTTAGTTTCTTTTATTTTTTTTTCTTATTTTTTCATTCTCTAGGCTCAAGCTCAGAATTGTTTTCACATTACTTTAGGATTGGTGTACAAGGGCACTATCACTTTGATAAAATACATTGGTGATTGGGAAAGTCCTGCGCTCTACCACTAGATCAGCTTGCTCCCCTAGAGATTTAGTTACAGTGAAATAAAATCCTACATTATTATTACTATGTGCTCAGTAAAATACCCACAGCTGTTGTGCTAATTATTTTTTTTTTTCAAATAGACCTACTCTAAACAGTCAAAGAGTTTCTTCAAGGCAGCTCACACTTCTACAACATAAATTATTAATATCTTACTTTGAGCAGCCAGAAACATTTTACATCTAAGATAATATAATACGATAACATACAGTACAGTAAAGACACTTCAAGTGATTTATCAACATGCATAGAGCAACAGATGAACACTTACGAGGCTGAGTCACTTCACGACAAGCCACAAAGGGATCGCCTGAAGTACCAGCGGGGCAGGTGCAGGTGGGGATGTGGTTGATGACATCACAGTTGGCCCCGCTGCCGCAGGTGCCGGGACAAGGGTCGATGCATCTCTGGTTGCTGCACGCTCGGTTGCGAGGACAGTCTGTGTTCATTGTACACTCAGGGCGACACCCAGTGTACGGATCTCCAAAGTAGTTTGGCTGGCACGTGCACGCTCCATTGTTGCAGTTAGCATTCGCACCACAAGGTGATGGGTTGCATGGGTCCGTCACCACTGGCTCTTGTTGTACTAAAACAATGGACAGAACTTATCTTTTTTCAAGAAGGGGGGGAAGGGAGTTTGATTGATTGATTGTAAGAGGGTGGACTCATGGTCCAAGCACGTCAACCGAAGCTTATTGTGCATCCCGCTTGCCACTAACTGGGTAAACCTATGCCTGTGTCCCTAACTAGGTGCAGGAGCTTTTGCCCAATGTTAGCGTCTGGTTCCTCACCTGGCTGCTTTAGACCAAACAGAGCCCTTTTCCTAGCCCGTAGTCCATCGCAGTCCAGAATAATGTGTTTTGCAGTCTCATCGGACTGGTTACAAAGTCGACACTCCTGCTTGTCATTGACAATTCCTAGAGTGTGGAGATGTTTCCTGAAATGGCCGTGTCCAGTGATAAGAGCAAGTACCTGCTTGACCTGCCCTCTCCCCAGCTTTAGCAGCCAGCGAGTGAAGAGGGTGCTAGGTTCTGAGAAGAGTTTTTTGCCAAGTGATTGTCCAGGATAATTACGCCAACGCTCAAGATGTTGTCCCCTGGACCATTTGTTGATTACATGTTTAGCGGCCGCTTTGCCGATGCCACAAAATGGCTCTGGTCCAAAGAGTGGCATGCTCGCACCTTTTTTTGCCAGCTAGTCTGCACTCTCGTTGCCGCCAATGCCTACATGGCCTGGGACCCAGCCGAGAGTTACAGAGTTCTGTGATGCAAGTCTGCAGAGGGTGTTGAAACACTCCCAGACCAGTTTTGAGGTGACTTCATTTGAGTCAAGAGCTTTGAGAGCAGCCTGACAATCAGATAAAATCACTATCCTTTTGTCTTGGTACCGTCTGGCTAGTCCTAGGTTGGCACAAGCCAAGATGCCATAGATTTCTGCCTGGAAGATGGTACAGTATTGTCCCAGACTTCCTGATAGTTCTGTTCTGGGTGATCGACAGTAAACCCCAAAACCAGATTTTCCATCGATTAGGGAGCCATCTGTGTACCAGACGAAGCTCTCCATATCTTGGAGATGCCCTTCCTGATGTTTCCACTCATCTCTGGAGTGGAATTCAACATTAAAGGGTTTGGTGAAAACTGCTTCCTTGCTTATGAAGTCCGAGGTCATGTCAAGCACAGGACACTCAGCCAAAATCTTAGCAATGGTGCAGTGGCCTGCCCCTGACAGGCCTTCCTTCCACAGATTTGCAACCCTCAGACGGTTAGGCGGTCAGACGGGAAGGGAGTTAAAAAATAGTATTACGCACACAGGTGGCTGGTCTGTAGTGTGAGACAAAGTCAAAGTTATCTTTATTGTCACACGGTTTTTACAATGTTCTAGCACAGCCAGACAAAACAGGTGACATTGTCAAACAATACTAAAATTAATAAACTAGCTTATGGTAAAAATAAATACAAAATAACGAAAAACAAATATTAACGTTGATTTGTTTTCAAGAAAATAATTTATACTATAAACATTTATTCCAACAAAAATTCAAAACTTTTTTTTCTAAAAGATACTAATCATATTATTGATTTGTAGTATCCTGGCAAGTTGTTAAACATTTTTTTACCTATATAAGAAGGCGTCCTTTCCACAAGATTTCATTTATGTAGAGGATTTTGAAAATCTGTATGAAATCTAGTGTTGTAATTGTGCCGATTATTTTCATGTTGGAGTTTTTCAAAATTTGATTTCACATACAATAAACATTTAAGAATACACAAATTAGGGACAGTTAGAATCTTAAGCTTTTAAAAAAGTTGTTTGCAAGAATGCTTTGCAGGTTTAAAAGTCAAAATTCTAAGTATTCTTTTTTGAAGTTTAAAATCTTTCTCGGGGAAGACGACCATTAGGATGACCTCGGCTAAGATGGCAGGACCAGGTGTGAAGTGACATAGGAAAGCTAAGAGCAGAGACAGAATGGATGGAAGACAGAGAGAGGTGGTGACTTGTTGTTAGTGAGACCAAAAACCTACTGAGGTTTGAGTGGACACATAGGTATAAGGTAGTTAAATACACCAACCAAAAATTAATTAAGTATTTAAGTTATGCTTTTGGTTTCACGGCTAAAGATAAATTATAAACTAGAAAGAAAAATCTTCTAAATCCTGCATAACTAAAGTCCGTTCATTAGGGACTGAAGTGATTGAAAATCTGTTGTAAGTAAACCAAAAAATCATTTAGGAAAATTGAAAAGATATAAAATCTTTTATTCAATAAGAAAAATTCCTAAAGACAACAACTTTTGTTATAGATTGTTGAAGAACCTTTTTTAAAGGATTTTCAAAGAATAGTATTTTTTACAGAATCGGCTTAACAACTAATTTAGGGTCTTTTCTAACCTCAGCATTTCATTCTACTCAGCATTTTACACTCATATACTCACCAACAATGGGAGAACATTGTGAAAAAGGATCTCCAGTGAATCCTTGAGCACAGGTGCAGATTGGTATGTGGTTCTGCACTCTACAGTCTGTGTTAAGTCCACACGAGCCAGGGCAAGGGTCACGACACTTCTCTGAGATACATGCCTAGAAAATTAAATAAGATGAAACGTAGTTAATAAAACTAGGTTTTTAAAAAGAAAGCACAGAAATTAAATAAGAAAGTATGAGGGGACCTGTGCGAAAATTGGGCATTTTAATAGGTGTCAAAACTTGATTTCTAGGCAACAAATAATGGAGTAGCCTTTTGCTTATCAAAGATATGTTGGTTTGAGATAGTTTTTAGCTGAATGAAACTTAATTTACAATATATTTGGATCCAACCATAAAAAGTGATTTACCTATCGCAATCAGATAACAAATTATACATTCACTAAAAATCATGAAATAATTTATTTTTGTAAAAAAATACAACCGACTTCTAATGCTCTAAAATGAATGAAATAATTTCAATAAAGTAAACCTTTGTATTGGTCAAGCTCTCGTATTTCAAGTCGGGCGCGGCTCTAACTGCAAATATGATTGAAATAAAATATTGTGTGTGTATTTTGAAAATCAATAAATTGTAGCTGGATAACATAAATATTTAACCCTCCAAGTGTCTAAAGTTTTGGTCTTAATGTCTGCCCATTTATTGCGCAATCGCAGGGTTTTATTAAAATGTTTCTTAGAAACTTAAAAACAATGTAAAGTATACTGTTTTATATATCATTTTGTTTGGAAAATTATGGGCTTCAATGTAACATATAAAACATAAAAAAAAAATGTTCAACAATTTTTGTGGGGTTAACATTTCTCAAAAATTATAAAATAAATGAAAAAAAGTTGTTTGCGCTCAATAAATTGTTATAAATTATAGGTCTACAAATATTTTAAAATAACCACTTTGTTCAATATAAGGAAGTAGGTTTGCAAATAAATAACTTATGGGCAAAAAACAGATTTCGGTACATAGCGTTTAGCTAAGAATGCATAGCCTACTTCTTCAGGATCATCAACCAGCCCTTCAAAATCACTTAAATCTTCTTATAATGCACCACGTATATCACTACTTTTGATTTTTAACACTAAAACAATGATAAACGTAATAAAACACATCAGTCATCGGTGCGAGGTTAACCAAGCGTTTACAAATACGCACGTCAGCTGTCTGCTACAATATTTTCGGAACTAAAATGAAAAGCGTCTAGAAACAGACATCAGGAGAAAGCTATGAATCTGCTGAAAAAAAACGATACCTAACTCGATCCAGTTCAAACCGATTCAGTCAGTCCCAGAGCCGTTGCCGGAAACAGTGTTTGTGAGTCGCAAAAGCGACGCATAACACCACGGCGGGTGTGTTATGAGTCGCTTTTACGACGCTTAACATTCGGAGGGTTAAAAAAACATACTGAACTGTTTTGTTTATATATCAAAGGAAGTATTTTCTTGTATTTTATGTTTACTTCAGAATGAATGCATTATGAAAATAACACACACAAATGTTCTATGAATAGGAAAATAATTTATTTTGATATTATGATAGGGAAAAAAGCTAGTTCAATATTAAAACGTTACTTTTCCAAGTTAGAAACATTTAAATGTGTTATAATCTTTTTAAATATACTAGTTAATACCACTATAATGCCGATATTTGGTTACGGTAATAAAATAACACCCAACGCATAACTATGAAAAAGACATGCAGATTTACACCTTTAGTTATAGATAGTCACCTGTAATATGGACATCCTCATTCAATTTTGTATAAAAAATCATCATAGAGCCGCGCCGACTTAAAATACGTGAGCTTGACCAATAAAAAAGTTTACTTTATTGAAATTATTTCATTCTTTTTAGAGCGTTTGAAGTCGGTTGTATTTTTTTACAAAAATAAATTATTAATTTAATGTTTTGTCTCTTGTTTACAATCTGACTGTGGTTGAAAATCAACTAAAGGATCAGCTGTTCACATTTAAATTCACATTCAAACCCTTAAAATGAAAGTTAATCAGCATAACTAAATCTTTGAAAGCAAACTCTAGAAATAAATCAAACCCCTAAAGAAAATTACCTTTTTAGTTACCATTTGTCATTCCGCTAGATGATAAGCTTTAAAATGACAGCTCAATTGTGAAAATCGGTTAAGAAGAACGGCTCAATAAGGGATGTAACAGAGAGTATAAGTACATGGATAGATTTGTAAGGTTTACCTGAGTTTGGGGACAGTCTGTGTTGACCACACACTCTGGGCGACAGTTGGGTGGAGAGCCGATGTAGTTAGGCAGACAACTGCAGGCCGGAGTGCTTCCTGATGGGCGGCACTGTGCAAACTGTCCACAAGGCGACGGGTTACAAGGGTCGATAGGGTCTGCTGGCCTTGTTGGTGTAGGTTGAACTGAGGTAAAAGAAATACTTTTAAAGAAATTGAACAAATGATGATTGTGGAAGCATGATTTTCAACGTAAACCGCTATTAAAAATATTTTCACATGTTTTGTATGAGACCCAGAACAATCAATATTTTTAATCTGCTGATTTTACATCGTTAGTTAACTTTATTCAAGTACAAAAAATGCCTTTTAAATAGTTCTAATAAAAACCATGCAATTTTGATTAAATTCAGTACAACCTTGTAAAAAAGATTATTCGAGGAAGTTAAAAATGTAGTAAGTGTTACTTCATTATGATAGGCTGTGGTATCCTAATACAGTATTTAGTGTAAATGACATATTTATGTTTTCATCACAGCAGCAAACATATATACTCATTGAATCCTAATCAATTCTGCAAAATTTAATTTGTTTATGAACATATTAAAACAAATTCAATCAAGTAAATTGATAAATGTTTTTAAAGTTTTACTTCAGAGCGCTTTCATATTAGTCTGGAATCAGACTAATGCTTTTAATACTTAAATACTCAGTTTGGACAATTACGAGTACGACACCAATATAAAAATTTAACCAAATATGAATGTAAAGCATGTACAAACCTGGTATTGGCGTGCATCTCACGAAAGGATCACCCGTCATACCAGCTCTACAACTGCATATCGGATTGTGATTGATGACTTGACACAAGGCATCAATACCACAAGTGCCTGGACAAGGGTCAGCACACTTGAACTTGTAGCAGGCTCTGTTAGAGGGACACTCGTTGTTGACTACACACTCGGGCCTACAGTTGGGTGGGGTTCCAATGTACTCAGGCGAACACGAGCACACTGCCTGACCATTGTTGTCTCGGCAAACACTGTTGGGGCCACAAGGAGATGGGTTGCAAGGGTCAACCACTGTAGCTTGAGTTACTGTAAACACACAACACAAATATAAGTCCATAGAGGTTTAAATTTAAAATATAACATAAAAATAGCTTTAATTTTTCATTACAGGTTTTTAATAACACCTTTATTCACATTTAACACAAAAAAACTAATATTAATAAAAGGTTAAATTACCTGTGTCCGCCTGTCGATCCTATAGAATCCTATTGCAGGATATGCATTTCGGCGACGTTAAATCACTATCATCAGTCCTTAATATAAGAGCTTGAACTTCCCCATTATGGGGACGTAATATATTCCCATAATGGGGAATATAATACAACACATTATATTTGGGGGGGGGGGGGGGTTCAAGCTCTTATATTAAGGACTGATGATGGCAATTTAACGTCGCCGAAATGCATATCCTGCAATAGGATTCTACAGGATCGATCCGGAACAACAACAAGCAACATAAAACTAATATTACTATAAAAGCGGTCATAAACAGAAAGAATAAACTAAAATAAGTTTATTATTTCCAAATTGATTTTCAAAAAACTTTAATTGAATTGCAAAGACTAAACACAGTTACACCTGCAGATACAATAGTATAAACCACAATTTTCTTCTAATGGTTATTTTTTAGTAATATATCATTTATAAAATACTAAAATTGCTAAGGAAATCTAAACTCACCAGGTGGAGGTTGGGGTGAACAAGAAACAAAAGGATTGCCAACATATCCAGGTGTGCAGGTGCAGGTGGGGATGTGGTTAATGACAGTGCACAGTGCAAACTGAGCACACACCCCTGGACATGGGTCCTGGCACTTGTTCCTCACACAGGCTCGGTCAGTGGGACAATCGGAGCTCAGTACGCACTCCGGTCTACACCCTTCATATGGGTTACCCTGCAAATACACTCAAGTCTTAGCACAAAGTACGTTTGTTCACTCTTGAGGATGATTTTAGTTACAGAATAAATTTTATCAAGCAACCAGAAATACCAATACTGTATCTGTGCTTGATTTGTAAAAGATGAGGTGCCGGAACTGTGACCTATTTTAATGTGAGCACCTATTTATGCCAATATTTTTATCTTCCCGAAATAGAGGTACTGGAATGCCGATCCGCCACATTCCGCAACAAATTGAGCACTGTAAATATATATATATATATATATATATATATATATATATATATATATATTAATAAGCCAATTGTAGCTACCTCTACGACATATTAAATTTTTTCTTCACAGATAATGCTGGCAAAGTGTAATGCAACAATTAAATGTAATAAAAAAGGATCTATTAATAGAAAGATTTAATAGACTCACGTTTAATAGTAACTGAAGAAAATGAAAGACAAGTCTAACTTATTAAATAAAATACACAAGTACTCCAAAAGATTATTATTACCTGGTAGTCTGGAATACAGCTACAAGCGCCTGCGCTATTTCGTTCAGTACAGATGGCATTTGAGCCACAAGGCGAAGGTGTGCAGGGATTGATTGGCTCTTCTGTGAATAGCAAGAATTATTTACAGCATATGCTAATATTGCATTTGTAAAGCTTAAGAACCACTTTAATATATCTATAAAACCAAAATGACCAAATTTCTTGTATAATACAATATTGCTAAATTTTCATAGGCTTGAAAACACTATAATTTGATTGACATGGATGATTATCATAATGTTATAAAATATTAATATTGTACTTTCAAATCAGAAAAATAGCTAATAATCTAAATTAGATACTGTTGTAGGTATTGTTGTATTAAATCACAAATAATAGTTCTTTAAAAAATTATAATAAGTAATGATATTCAATGCTTAATGCTTATTAACAAAATACAATTAGAAGCTAAATAAGAAACAGGACGTACAATACAAGGTTACATGTAAAAGCTCAAAGGTCAAGATCAAGGACTGGAGAGGACCCATTTCTCTTCTGACTCAACACTGTGAGTATAGCAAGTAACTAAAATGTGCTCTTGTTAAGGTTAATATGTCCCCCCTAAAAATATATAACAGGTATAAAGCAATAATTGCTTTATAAACTTACTTAAGCAATTTATAAAGTATTTGGGAGACATTTTGGTAACTTCTTACTTGTTAATATTGTAAAACAAAACACCTTGATTTTGTTCAGAGATCAAATTGGTTTATTTGATAAAATTATTTTTTTGACAACAAATCTGGTGACCTACTTATCACATGAGGATATTGACTTACGTTGTTGGAGCATACACTGCACGAAGGGGTTCCCAGTGTAGCCTGGCAGACAAGTACAGGTTACGGCATGGCTGATGACAGAACACTGAGCATTGATGCCACAAGAGCCGGGACATGGATCTACACACTTGTTGTTCACACAGGCCTGTGTTGACGGACAGTCTGGGTTGATGACACATTCTGGGCGACAGTTGGGTGGAGCGCCTACATACCCGGGTAGACACGAGCAGGACGGCACACGACCACTAGGTTGACATTGGGCGTTGGGTCCACATGGTGACGACAGGCAAGGGTCTCTCTGCTCATCTTGAGGTGGAGGTGTAGGTGCTAGTAATTTGAATAACATTACTAGAGTAACACTATTATTATTCAAACCCGATTCAAATAAACTAGCTGCATCAAACAAAAACTTTTACTGCTAGGAAGCCAGGAATAAACCTTAGAAAGTAAATGTTGACGGGTTGGGGACATTGTATAAAGTAGGGATGGACGGGTCTCGAAATTTCAGGAAATTTTTAAACTTGTTCTACAAGACAAGATTCTATTTTGTTCAAGATTTTTTTGAGGCGAGATTAAAAAGATAAAAAAAAATGCCTGCAGAAAGTCAATGCAATACCCGCAATACAGGAGCGTGTTGATGTTGCGTTTCCTTTGCGAAGGCCTTTTTTTTAATTATTAATTCTTTACACGGAAATATTGCTTCAATTTGTTTAATATTTTTTTTTGACATGACAAATGATGAGAAGTTTTAGTGTGAGACATGTTTTACTACTGTAAACATAGCCAAAATAAGTCAATCCAAAATCATTCTAAAAATAACACAAGACTTAAAAATTGTTACTTGATACTTAACTAGTAATACTGTTGTTTCAGACTAGTAAATTTGGTATTTTTCAAAGTTGATACTAACTGAATCTCCATGTTTCCTATGCCGAAGAGTTATTTTTAATAAGTTAGGCCTTAATATTTTTTTCTTATACTGATGTTTTTATTAATGATTTTTATAAAAGATTTTAAATATTTTTTCTATTATTATTATTTTTGTATTTAACTAGTCTGTTATAAATCAGTAGGTATTTAAAAATGTTTAAAAAAAAAATCAGGTTAAAATGTGGAACGAGCATTTCCTGTTACGTATGAGAAGGGAAATCCCGTCTCGATCTCGTCTCAAAATTTTATGAGAAATAAAAAATCCCGTCTCGTCTGGTCTCAAATTAAAAATCCAATCTCGTCCATGCCTAGTATAAAGGCTGACTTAAATTTTGAATCAAAATTTGTAAGAAGTAAAAACTTGACAGAAACTATTGTGTAATCAAACAGTGATATAATTTTTAGTTACAAGTGGAGGGGTTAATACTTATAGATCCTATAGTATCATAGTACCTATCCGATTGTATGGATTACAGCTGCAAGCCCATTTTAAATATAGATTAAATAAAATATAGATCCACTTACGAGGCAGATCATAACAGCTCCTGAATGGATCACCAGTCTGGCCTTCACGACAACTGCAGATTGGAGAGTGGTTGATGACCTCACACCTGGCGTTGAGGCCGCAGGATCCGAGGCAGGGATCTGTGCACTTCTGGTTGACACATGCTCGAGTCTGAGGACACTCTGCACTGACAACACACTCAGGGCGACATGAGGGTGGGGCACCGGAGTATCCTGTGAGGCAACTACAAACGGCGTGGCCATTGGATGTGCGGCACTGACTGTTGGGTCCACACGGTGATGGTTGGCAAGGGTCAGTTGGCTCTTGTTGGACTGGAACACAACAATCACCTCATAGTTAATAGTACTACAGTAGTATTGAAATAATATGCTCTTAATCTTTAAGCTTGAATTTTAAGGTACAAAAACATTTTCTTGACACATTTTTTTAAACTAGAGTAGGCCCATTTAAACTCTTTAAAATGTATGGAGCATACATATGATAAATAAAGTAAAAAATGTAATGGTCTAACATTCTTCTGCGAAGTAAGTGTTATGGTGTGTGGTCTGACCTGGTGGCAGTATCCTGCAGCTTGTGAACGGGTCACCTGTGTAGCCCTGGGGACAGGAGCACACTGGGATGTGGTTGACGACATCACACTGAGCGTTCTGACCACAGGTGCCGGGGCAAGGGTCACGGCACTTGTTGCGGATACATGCCTTGTCTCGGGGACATTCCGGATTGAGCACACATTCCGACCGACAAGCCTCGTACGGGTTTCCAGAGTACTCAGGTATACACTCGCACATGCCAGCACCACGACACACTGCGTTGGGTCCACAGGGTGACGGGTTGCAGGGATCAGACTGCTGAGGCGTAGGTGTAGCTGTGGAACATTTGAATCAATTAATAAAGACAAGTCTTATTAATAGCCCTCATTCCCTCCATTTCTCCTCTGCTTGTATTATTTTAGATGTATTTATACTGTGATATGCTTTATGTATACTATTGTAAAATTTTCACATGGCATGTTATATTTTGTATTAATTCTTGATTCTTCTCTAGTATAAAACCTCTATTGTCTGGTTAGAATATTTTTATATTTCATTCTAAAAACTAATAATTATGTACTTATCACGTAAACAAGAACTTGGGACTTATGTTTTCTAGTAAGACAATTGTACTGGATAAATCATTTGAGTGAAAACTAAACTTTCAAAATCATAGTTATTATGATTCCCTATTTGGAAACTGGGGGTTACCAATTAGGAACGGCTAAGCTTTAGATGAGTGGTTCAAAGTTTGCTAGTCCAATCAGTAGAAAAGTTTTAAGAACTTCATAACAGTTTCTAACTTGAGTCAGCTATCATAGATCATTGGGATTTCCAGATAATGCTGCCATGTAATTCATTCTATTCTATTACAGTAATATTTATTTGCAACCAAATGCCTTGGTGGTTTGACATCTTAATGCAATGACCACATAATTTAATTGCATTAACCAAAGAAAAACATGATACATCCAAATTTCAAAGCTACACAAAAACTTAAAACATAATGCTCATAGACAGTTTGTTGGATTATTGGATAGTTCAGTAAACTGGTATAATGAATAGTTTGTACTTACTGATTGGAATTGGTGTGCAGAATGTGAATGGATCCCCAGTAAATCCATCATTACACGTGCAGATTGGAAGATGGTTGACAACATTACAAATGGCATTGGCCCCACAAGATCCTGGACACGGGTCTCGGCATTTGAGCTTGATACAAGCCAGCTGACTTGGGCATTCAGCACTGAGTACACACTCAGGCCGGCACTGCAATCATATACGTGAGTAATTTAACATCCACAATAATAATGTTTAGAAAATCAGTCTTTGGAAAACTTCATAGATCCGCTTTTCAGTCAAATGCTTATAACTTCTGTGTGATTAAATATAAAATAACATAAAAGATGAATAATCTCCTAAAAAGAATTCAACTACAATCTTAATCAACAGGAAAAAATTTTAAACTTCGTGAAGATATTTTAAAAAGATAAATTAAAAAATGCAAATCATATTTATGCTTCAGAGTTGAAGATAACTATTAAATGTTCAACTAACTCAGAATCTTGTAACATGAATTACTTTGATCGCCAGTTGTACCTGTGGTGGTGAGCCAATGTAATCAGGCAGGCAAGAACACGCTGGGTTACCTCCAACAATCTGGCACTGAGAGTTGGGTCCGCAAGGTGAGGGGATGCACGACGGGGCTGGTGATGTGGGCGGGGCTATTGGTTCTTGTTCTACAACAACAATCCTTTTTTATTACTCCCCAACCTTTTCTAATTTTAATCTCATAAAATAAACTAAATACAGTATATATACATTAATAATAGAAATATGAATACCATTTTACTAGAATTTCAAATTATACCAAAAGTCCATGTTACATAGTGAAACACGCTCAAACTTTTATTAAAACCACTTTTAGGGAAGTCACAGACAAAAGGTATTTCGCATAATGTAATTTTTACTGTCATAAAACAAAATAAATAAAGATAATACTTTATTCTGTCTATGTTACAACTCAAATACACATGAAATAACCAAGTAAAATGTCAATAAAGTAAGTTTGTAGATTTTATGTTAAGGCTGTGGTTTCCTAGACGCGTAATAGATGCGCAGCAGTTTAGATGCGCAGCGTCTTTTATCCAGGTCCCAAAACGCAGCTGCCGTTAGTGGTTTCCTAGACTGCGTACAATACACATGGTTGGTGCGTAACATAAGTTCACGGGAGAGATTACTAGTGGCTACTATAATGTTATACGATGATTTAGATAATGAAATGTATACTTTGGTATTAAAAGCTTTGAAGAAGCGTAAGCAGTGAAAAGTACGTGTTAGGAACTGTACGTGGCCCTCACGCATCTTTTAACTGTAGTGTTAAAGCAAAAATGTCAATTTAAAATGAAAACAAAAAATCTTAGTTTACCCTGTCAAACTTTGCTTTTACTGTTATTATATTTACCTATTCGGGATTTACCGAATCGATGAAAATACCTTTTACAAGTATAACTGCAATAATCATTTTATACTTATACGCCAACCCCGTAAGAAGTTTGGGTACTATGCTAGTAATTAATATAGAGTTATTAGTAAGATATTCAGGAGTTCTTAAAATAATTATGGGGACACTTATATTTGGGAGTTGGTTTTGCTGACTTGAAAAGAATATTTGTCAATATTAAGTTTATTTATTAATACAGTAACAACAATAAGAAAATATGTGAGGACAAATTAATTGTAGAGAACATGTAACAAGGGGATTAAATATTGAAATCACACATTATGGGGAAATTAACACTACATAACGAATGATATGAAATATAAAACTATAAAATTTTAATTGTATGAACAAAGTATTTCCATAATATCTCATTAGAAGAGACAAATTCAATAAATTTGTTGTCGTTGTTGGAGAATTTTGCCTTCTGTACAACATTTACTTACGAATCCATTGCACAAGACATGTCTAAAACGCAGCTTAACTTAGATTTGACTGCTCTGAGAGCAGTCGGTGAAATACGCAGCTATTGGTGCGCGCATACTAGATGCGCGCGAATTAGATACACAGCCTTGGAAACCGCTTACACGAAACTCCATAAGACAAGTGTGCTGCGCACACGCAGCGCATCTATTACGCGTCTAGGAAACCACAGCCTAAGCTGTGAATGTTGGTGTTACTTACGTATCGGTAGACACTGAGAGAACGGGTCTCCAGTAAACCCTTGAGGACAGGCACAGATGGGGTTGTGATTTTTGACAGTACACTGAGCTCGCACACCACAAGTGTTGGGACAAGGATCAGAACACTTTTGGTTGACACAAGCTCTGTCTAGAGGACATTCGGAACTGACCACACACTCGGGCCTGCACGATGGTGGAGAGCCTACGTAGTTAGGTAGACATGAACACACAGCCTGTTGGTTGACTGCACGACACTGACTGTTAGGACCACAGGGAGAAGGGGCACACGGGTCCTCTGGTCTCGGCGGAGCTAAACACAGGAATTGCATATAATTTGAGTGGCAGCATGAATCTTTAAAACCAACTCCGTCTGAACAGATTTGACCATTTTGCACAAAAGGAAAAATAAAATTAAATTTCTAATTTAGGATATAAACATTTTGCCTTTGATTTCCCTACCATATATAGTTAAAAGTATTTTATTTCCTCAATTAAATTGTTAATAAACTAATGTATATTGTTAATAAACTAATATACTATTTACATGTGAAGGTTTTACCCTAATTCTGATATTGTTTTTTTAAATTTGAAACATTGGTTGGAGGATAATCACAACAGTTAAAATATAATTAGTTTAATATCATTTCAGAACTGCCAGCCACTAACTGGTAGCTTTGACTATTGCTGGTAGTTTTTTTATTAAATTTAAATATTGTTTTGGCTGATGGTCAGTTTGATACATTTTTCAGCTGATGTCATAGGAGCTTTGCAGAGAATACTGTTGACAATTTTACCACAGTTGAATGAATACCTGTAAACACTTGTTATTCCATTAATTAACTAAACTTACGTGTCGGAGGGGCAGGTCTGCAAGCCAGGAACGGATCTCCAGTAAAGCCAGGTGGACAAGCACATGATGGAATGTGGTTGATCACTGTGCAGTCAGCTCCAGCTCCACAAGTACCAGGGCAAGGATCAGCACATTTAAATCTAAAATACAGACAATTTCATTGTTGCCATTTTTTACTTTCTCCCCTTTATATGCTACCATAGGATATGGAGGAAGAATTATTTTCATAACAACTTTCAAGATTGAGTATTGGGTGGATGTATCAATGTTGGGTCACCCGAACCCAAAAAAGTGGTTTTTGAAGTGATATCTGTGTGTGTGTGTGTCTGCCTGTCTGTATGTGTGGATGTGTACAGACCACACCTGTGGTTCAATTTTGATAACATTTGGTATGTAGGTACTAATCTACGGTATCTCCAGACAATTTAAATTTTTTCAAAATTTTTATTTTTAATTTTAATGGTAATTTTTATAAAAACCCATCAAACAATTCAATTTTTTTCAAAATTTACCAACTTACCCATTGCTGATACCGTTTATTTTTAAATAAAGAGGCTATGCTAATTATTATCAATAGATTAGATAAGCAATGCATGTCCGAATTTATCATGTTTTAAGTAATAAAATAACTAAAATACAAACAAAATTTGAAACTAAACAGAAAAGATTTGTACCTAATACAAGCCAACCCTGGAGCACAGTCTGGATTGGTCTCACACTCTCTTCTACATCCACTGTAAGGGTCACCTTCAAACCCTGCCAGGCATGTGCAGGAGCCAACGTTGTTGCGGTTAGTACACTCTGCGTTGGCGCCACATGGTGAAGGGAAGCAGGGGTCTGCAATTACTGGAGTGCGCTCTGTAGCTGCGGACACACAATCAGGAATATTATACAAATTTTCATCACTAGAACAAGGCATCCAACTTACCCTTGCAATTTTTTTGTGTTTTTGCTCCCTCAGATTTTTTACAGCAGTATTTAAAAATAAAACATTTTTCTGAAATCTACAAAAATGACAATAACAGTTGGAGAAAATACATATATAAATTAACATGGACCATTCAAACACAATTAGCATTGAAAGCGTAGTAGAAAATACAAAACATTGTAAATACATCAAAATAGGCTTACTTACAGTTCTTTGTGAATTATAGCTTCATGAGTCAAGTGATGCCTGAGACTTTTGCCAAACACAAATATAGGTTTGCCACAAAGTAAAACCCTTATTGACAGAAATCAACGAGTTTAAGACTATTTTGTAAATCATCTTGCTAAAAAAAAGAAAATATCCATAACAAGATTGTCATTACAATATGTCTGGATGAACATGCTATTTATAAAAGCATGTTTTAAGGGCCGTAGAGCCATAATAACCCTGCACTAATTGGAGTAGGTTGCCCCAAATTTCTGTTAAAAAAGGTTTTACTTTTAAAAGAATTATAGACCTACCTTGTACTAGACTATAACAATAGTCATTAAATTACCTTACCACATTATTATTTAAAGATATTTGTAAAAGTATTATGACTTCTTTTGGCTAAATTATTAGAGCTTTATCAAGTTGTACTATGAACATTACATTCACAGTAAAAACAATCGATATCTTTCATATAACATATTTTGCTTTTACATTTACTCTTTCTGATCGTGTACATTCTTACTGGTTATAGGTGCTGGCTGACAAATGGATGACGGGTCGCCTACAAATCCTTGTGGACAAGTGCATACAGCTGCGTGATTGACTACTCTACAGTCTGCATTCTGACCGCAAGCGCCGGGACAAGGATCTTCACACTTCTCATTGCGACAGGCCCGATTACTGGGACACTCAGCGTTTATAGTACACTCCGGCCGACAGTTGGGTGGACGTCCGATATAGTTGAGAAGACAAGAGCAAGCAGGTGTCATACCGACGACCCGACATTGTGAGTAGGGTCCACAAGGCGACGGGTCACAGGGGTTGGTGACTGGAGGAGGCGTGGTGGAAACTGACAAGAAAAGACACAGAAAAGAGTAGAGAGCGACAGTGACAGAGAAGAGAGCAAAGACACTATTTCCCAACTAAAATGTTTAATGCAAGAGTCAAAACAGTTGTATTACAGAGAACCAATGTAAGAAAAAATGATGGACTTGTCTAATTGCAATTAGTTTTCATACAATGGTGAACAAACAATGTTTTTTCTAAATAATTTTTACACTTGAAATATAAAGAGTCTAAATCTATGCACATTGCAAAATATGTTTTAAACAAAAAACATTATTTTAGTGTTTCTAGGGAAATTGCATCTAGCTATTGACACATACAGAAGCTGAAGATAATGGGCTACAAGAGTAAAAAATATACAAAAGAATTTGGAGTCTATTCTAGGAAAACACTTAAATGTAAAGAAAAGATAGCCAATACCACAAATAGCACAGTTCAAGGTAATGTGACTTTAGAAAAAAAGAAGTTCTTATATTAATCCCAGAATAAAATAAAATGATACCTACAAAGATAATGTTAAATTTAATAAAAACTATTAAAAGATGTCAAAAGAGGTTACCTCTAGGAAGTCAAACTTTAACAGAAACCTTACATGACATGAAACCAAGAAGGTTTCAGGGCATGGTAACCATCTGACATGGCAACAGATACAAGAAAAGATTTTAATGAAATAAAGAAAAAGAAAATACAGTTAAAGAAGAGCTTACTTTCTTGTTGTAAACAACGGATAAAGGGATCTCCTGAGAATCCTGGGGGACAGCTGCAGATGGGGTTGTGATTGACCACTTGGCACCTGGCATTGAGCCCACAAGTGCCAGGACAAGGGTCGGCACACTTCTGGTTGATACAGGCTCTGTCCTGAGCACAGTCAGAGCTCACCATGCACTCAGGTCGACATGAAGGTGGAGTGCCGATGAACCCAGCCAAGCAGGAACAAACTGCATGACCATTGACCTCTCGGCATTGGCTGTTGGGGCCACACGGGGACGGTTGGCAAGGGTTTGTGGGAGTAGGTTGAGCTAGGGAATAAGAGAAACCATGCAATAACACAGAACATGTAAAGAGAGAAACAGAAGCATAACATTTCAAGAAACAAACACACAGATAAAAAAGGAAAGAATGTTCAAGGTTTTGTAAAGCTATAGATTACAGTTGAAGATCAAACTAACATTAACATATGTATATATTTAATACAATACGGGGTTTGTCTGTTACATCCCTTTTTCAGCCGTCCTCCTTAACCAATTTTAATTATGGAGGTGTCATTGTAAAGCTTAGGGTCAAGCTATATGAGGAACGGTAACTAAAAAAGTAATTTCCTTAAGGGCTTCCCCTTACCATTTGATATTTAGAGTTTCAGTGATGCTGACGATTATTATTTAAAATGGTTTAAATATGAACAGCTGATCTTTCAGCTGACTGTTTAACTACAGTCAGATTTGTAAATAAGAGACAAAACAGTTCATGAAAATAAATTTTAATTTTGCTACTTTTTTATAACTGTAACCTGATTGAGGTAGGCAAATTACTCTTAATTATTTTATTTGTGGCAACATATTTAATTTATTGTAAATTAGTAGTTCTATTTACCCTACAGTATAACTAACTGTCTCAAACAATCTTAATCTTTTAAAATTAAAAGGATATTGAATTACTCGTTTTGCCTCGGAATCGAATATACCTAAATACTATTCCACTAACAATTTATTTATTGCATATATATTGTGTTCAATAACAAATATTTGGATTTTACGACTCATTAAGAGTTGTTAATATTAGCTTGCTATTTCAAGAATGTATACTATTAAATAATTTGGTGTTATAGAGGAAAATTAAATTAAGCATATTCAATATGACATCAACACTTTTGTACTGTACCTATCTGATGTCTTTACTAAAAATGTATGTGTTGTTAGCACAAGTTAATTCAGAAAAAAAGTAGTAAAGACAGAAAGAATTATTATAAGGTAGAGACCAGTAAGAATAATAGAGAAAATATAATAGATGAAAACAATAAATCTTACTGGGTGTTGGTGTAAGGACACAATTTGTGAGTGGGTCTCCAGAATAGCCAGGCAAGCAAGAGCAAGACGGGGCATGGTTGATGACACGACACTCTGCGTTGAGACCACAAGTGCCAGGACAGGGGTCTCGACACTTGTTGTTGACACAAGCCTTGCTACGATCACAGTCAGAGTTGATGACACACTCAGGTCTACACCCAGTGTACGGATCTCCAAAATATTCAGGTAGACAAACACACGACCCGGCACCATTGCGCTCCTTACACACTGCGTTGGCTCCACAAGGCGAGGGATTGCAAGGGTCTCGTGGCCCTTCTGTCGGAGGAACTGTAATAAATACACAAACCATGTGTTAACTGACCTCGACATAGCAGTTTTGGAACACTCAACGGAATCAATTTGTAATGTGCTCTTACTTTGTTGTATTTGTGTGCAGCCAGCAAACGGGTCTCCAGTGAATCCCGGTTCACAGGAGCATTGCGGAGCGTGATTGACAACAACACAAGTTGCCCTGGTCCCACAAGATCCTGGACAAGGGTCGCGACACCTCTCATTCTGACAAGCCAAGTTGCCTGGACATTCGGCATTGATTGTACACTCCGGGCGGCAGTTGGGGGGGCGACCCACATAGTTGGGGAGGCAAGAACATGCGGGATTGTTGGCAACCACACGGCACTGAGAGTTGGGTCCACATGGTGATGGCACACAAGGGTCACCACTGGGTGGAGCAGGGGTGGATGGTTCTAAAGGAAACATGCATACAAATAACAGAAAATGAAAAGACAGTTGAAAAGAAGAGTAACATAGTTTTTTTACCATGTAAAGAATTTAAAAACCATTACTGGTGACAGTTGGCTTTCAAATTTTTATTTTGTAAAAATTAAAGGTTTCAAAGGTTTTTTTGATATGGGTGGATATGACTTAAAAAAAAACTTAAGTTTTTAACAGAGGCGAAAAGTTTACACAGACTGCTGTAATAGGATTTAATTGAAAGGATACTTGTCCCTATAAAATTATATATCATTGACAAGTATTCACTTGATTTAATGTTATTGGATTAGGCCTACTTTAAATTTAAATGTGTCACCTACAGCTAAATTGAACAATAAATTATTACAAAGTATACAGAGTCTTCAGGCTTGGTAATTTAAATTGTATTCAGAGCAAAACTGCATGGAATACTAAAAGCTATTATGTGATGATAAGAACAAGAAGCTCTGATAGACAGTGAAAGACAGAGGAAGAAAGATTTCTTACGTTGATCCCTAACACACTGAGCAAAAGGGTCGCCAGTAAAACCAGGAGCACAGCTGCAGATGGGGTTGTGATTGACCACTTGGCACCTGGCATTGAGCCCACAAGTGCCAGGACAAGGGTCGGCACACTTCTGGTTGATACAGGCTCTGTCCTGAGCACAGTCGGCACTGACCATACACTCTGGTCTACAAGCTGGGGGAGTTCCCACATAGTTGGCTTGACATGAACACACAGCGTGACTATTGACTACTCGACACTGACTATACGTCCCACATGGCGATGGTTCACAAGGGTTCTGAACTACTTCAGGCATTGCTATAATTTAAAAAAAAACATGCATCAGACCACAACAGCAAGACAGTGGAACAAGAGGAAATAAATAATTAATAATAGGAAGATTATTATATTATTAATATTCTAGTTATCATTTAGCAATTTTATTACCAAACATTGACTTTTATAAGTGCCTTTAAATTGGATTAAATGAGGTATTAACCCTTTGATCTCTAATAGACAAGACATTGGTTTCCACAACAACCCAACTAACTAGGTACTAAACCTTCACTTTCAACTATTGATGCGAGTACAACTCAACAAAAACGGCTGAAAGCTATAACTGACATGTGCTGCAACTAGAGAGTCAATTTTAGAAGCACTATACTTGGGGTTACGGTTAACCAGTGTTGTTATTGCATTGATCTTTTGGGTTTAATCTAGAGCCCCAGCTAGGAAACAGATCCTAGGACTGAGGGTTTGAATCTTGTCTCTATTGAGTGTGGTGTGCAACTCAGGAGTTACCTGACTGTAAAAGAGCTAGGTGAACAGCTTGGGTGGAAAATAATGAGATGTTTGGAGTTTTCTAGAGCTGCACCTCAAACTAGGCATTTTGCTTCATTTTGCTACTGTGTGTGAGTTCACCAAAACTTGTGACGGTTCTTAGTGTGTTTTATATTCAAACTCTATGTTTTGTTTTTGTGTTTTGTCCAACATAAGAGTTAGCTTCTAATAGATTTCTGAGCATTGGGGAATTTGTTAGCATGTAAGCAATATACTAAATGAAAGATTTAATTAAATTGTATGAATTTTTTAAACCATTTAACTACATTTGTAGATGAAACTCTAATATGCAAAGTACAGAAAACTTATATATGAATTCTGAGCATTATAAATACTATTTAAATTTCAACTGGGTACAAGAGAACAAAAAAAAATACAAAAAAATTTTAAATTCATACAATGCCATGAATTCTCAGGTAATAGCATCTTCTTTACATGTAAAAGCACAAAAACTAAGTTCTAAAACGAAATGAATAGATATTGAAAATAGAGAAGATAGAAGAAACAGCTTACGAGGTGGTTGGTGGCATGCACTTAATGGGTCTCCAGTAAACCCTGGCAAGCAAGAGCAAGACGGGGCATGGTTGATGACACGACACTCTGCGTTGAGACCACAAGTGCCAGGACAGGGGTCTCGACACTTGTTGTTGACACAAGCCTTGCTACGATCACAGTCAGAGTTGATGACACACTCAGGTCTACACCCAGTGTACGGATCTCCAAAATATTCAGGTAGACAAACACACGACCCGGCACCATTGCGCTCCTTACACACTGCGTTGGCTCCACAAGGCGAGGGATTGCAAGGGTCTCGTGGCCCTTCTGTCGGAGGAACTGTAATAAATACACAAACCATGTGTTAACTGACCTCGACATAGCAGTTTTGGAACACTCAACGGAATCAATTTGTAATGTGCTCTTACTTTGTTGTATTTGTGTGCAGCCAGCAAACGGGTCTCCAGTGAATCCCGGTTCACAGGAGCATTGCGGAGCGTGATTGACAACAACACAAGTTGCCCTGGTCCCACAAGATCCTGGACAAGGGTCGCGACACCTCTCATTCTGACAAGCCAAGTTGCCTGGACATTCGGCATTGATTGTACACTCCGGGCGGCAGTTGGGGGGGCGACCCACATAGTTGGGGAGGCAAGAACATGCGGGATTGTTGGCAACCACACGGCACTGAGAGTTGGGTCCACATGGTGATGGCACACAAGGGTTATCAGGAGTTCTTGGAGGTGTTGGTACTAAAAGCACAAGCAAGAACCAAAGATAACCAAACATGCAAACAGAGAGAAAAGACAGAAAGAAATAACATATACATACAAGAGCTTATTTTATCAGAAAAAAACTACTTAAAAAGAACAAGATAGAGAAAATGTATTATCAAAAGTTGATATTTTACCTACTTCTGTTAAATATTTATTCATTGCTATTGTAACAAATCTAGTAAAAAAAAAAAAAAATAGTTTACATTGAGTATGATGGTGAGTTATCTGTATAGGTTGAGTTACGTAAAACCACTAAAGTCACTTTGTGATAGTATAAATTGGTATCGGACATATTTTTATATGTACCTAACATTAAAGGTGTTTCAAACAGTACAGATTTAGTTTTATCTTATGTGTGAAAATATTTTTGCAATAAATTTAATAGCATATTATTAAGTTATAACACAAAAAAATGGCATTAAACATTGTAATCCTTAGATCAGCAAGTAAAAGCAAAACCAAATAAACAATTATTAACATTTTATATGATTTTAATATGTGATTTCTGAAATCATTAAAATATTTTCTTCAGAAAGATCAAGAAATGAGTTGGAAGGATAAAATCTTAAAATGTACTAAAGTTTTTAAGTAGATAGAATTATCAAGATATGAAAAAGAGAAACATAGAACAGAAAAGAAAGAGAGGGTGCTTACCCTCTTTTAAACATCTAACAAAAGGATCGCCAGTAAAACCAGGAGCACAGCTGCAGATGGGGTTGTGATTGACCACTTGGCACCTGGCATTGAGCCCACAAGTGCCAGGACAAGGGTCGGCACACTTCTGGTTGATACAGGCTCTGTCCTGAGCACAGTCGGCACTGACCATACACTCTGGTCTACACGAAGGTGGAGATCCGATATAGTTAGACTGACATGAACACACAGCGTGACCGTTGACAGGACGGCACTGACTGTACTGCCCACATGGAGATGGCACACATGGGTTCTTTGGCTTAGAAGGTGAAGCTAAAGAAAGAATAGAAAAGAAAGATGATAAGCAGTAAATAAAAAGGTGAACTAAGTATGAATATAAGAAAGTGAGCACCCTTTTAGACGGATGCTCAATTAAATGCTAATCAGATAAGTATAACTAAAGCATGTACACTACTGAATAATGCAAGATTGTGTAGAGTAAAGGTTGGGTGTCATTAATTAAAACCTGTCATTGAGATAAAGTTGTTCATTACATTCTGTTAAATTAGGCCTACCTTTTTAAAATCATTCGACAACTTTTTTGTCCATTAATTATTATAACAGTAATTTTTACAAATACATTACTTTCATGAGCCATGGAAGGAACTGTTTAAGAGATTTAATTTAAATTTTCAATAAACTTCCATTTTACAATTTAGAGATTTATCTAAAATGTAAAGAAATTATTACTTTAGTTTAGTTTTTTAGTTGTTTTTCTTTCATTATAAATGTGAATAGTTTTGGTACACATTATACGTTTGGTAAACTTTTAATTCAGATGGGGCTTCTTTAGCTGTAGGTTCATTTATAATAATTATTTTTTGTTCGATTTTTCGCTGTATCAAAATTGAAAAATATATTGACAATAAAATCTATAGTGCCACAATATTCTCATATACACAGTTTGAGTGCTGAAAAGTTATCAAGCACTAGATTATTGTCTATAATAAACTAATTGCTATAACTAATTGCTTTCAATTAAAGTTCAAAGGTTGTTTCCTCAAATAACCATATTTTGTTTGGTAAAGGAAGTTTTTATATGTGACCAATCAGTGAAAAATCAGATAAAGCAAACATGCAAAACATGCTCAATTGAAGTTCACACTGGAAAAGTACAGTAGAAAAAGAAGGAAATAAAATCTTACGAGGAGGAGGAGGTGGTTGCCGGCATGCACTCAATGCATCTCCAGTAAACCCTGGCAAGCAAGAGCAAGACGGGGCATGGTTGATGACACGACACTCTGCGTTGAGACCACAAGTGCCAGGACAAGGGTCTCGACACTTGTTGTTGACACAAGCCTTGCTACGATCACAGTCAGAGTTGATGACACACTCAGGTCTACACCCAGTGTACGGATCTCCAAAATATTCAGGTAGACAAACACACGACCCAGCACCATTGCGCTCCTTACACACTGCGTTGGCTCCACAAGGCGAGGGATTGCAAGGGTCTCGTGGCCCTTCTGTCGGAGTTACTGAAATGGTCCAGTTATTGTTAAATATCATAAAAGGAAATAAATATACTATTACTTACCTTCATCTAAGCCCTCCAGGTGTTGAAAATACACTGCTACTTTTACCTACCTTTTTTTTATATCCAGCTGAAAATTAAATGGCAGAAATATCAGCAGTTAGCAACAATAAAAAGGTTTCTATATGATAGAATTGGCCATATACATAGATAACCAAATTTAAATTAATATTTAAAATATTACAATGGTTTATATTTTTACTACACTAAAAGTTTATTTACCACTAGAAATTGATATATATTTCAATTATTTTGAAACTACCTTAGAGCGAATAACTAGGATTATAAGAAATTATTATTTTTTTTTTAACCTGTACATACAAGTTGGATTATACTTTTATGTGGGTGATAAAAATCTAATAAAATATTTTAGATATAGATAAGAAGGAAAAACTAACAGATACCCAGCATAAATTAGATTAAACATTAAAAATTTTTTGTTGAATGAAGTGAACAAGCTTACTTTGCTGCACTAAAACACATCCAGCAAACGGGTCACCAGTGTATCCCGGCTGACAGGCACATTGGGGAGCGTGTTTGACAACAGTGCAGGAGGTCTGGGGGCCACACGAGCCAGGACAGGGATCTTGACAGCGCTCTGACTGACACGCTCGGTTACCAGGACACTCGGCATTGATGGTGCACTCGGGGCGACAGTTTGGTGGGCGACCGACATAGTTGGCCATGCACGAGCATGCCGGGTTACTTGCCACCACTCGACACTCGGAGTTGGGGCCGCAGGGCGAAGGCATGCAAGGGTTACTGCTCGGTGTAGGTGTGGGCATAGGGGCCTCTGTACATGCAATGAAAGAAACACATGCCAACAGATTAGATCATGCAATGGGTTAGTGACAGCTATGGATGACAAGAAGAAGTGAGTTTATGAATAGTATAATGTTTAAAAATGCTAAGTAAATTTGTGTTTATTAAAAAGAGGAAAAATAGTTAATTGTAATAGGAATTAATTAAAATTAATAGGTTTAATATTAAAACTGTTCAAGTTAAACAAAGACTATTTTATTTTGAGAATTATGAAAATTATAAGTTCTAATGATAAATATAAGAAATAATCACCGGTATTTAAATAGTATACCAATTTCCACCTTTTAAAGAAAACAAAAAGGAATTAAACCAATTAACAATGCTTTTCAAAACATCAGAGTGTTTAAATGGTTTATCTTAAAACAAAATAATGTTATAAAGGAAGAATTTGAGTTACTGGTAAAACAGTCAGAATTTAAGTAGGTATTTAATATTAATAGAACAGCTTCAATGTCCCAAGATGATATCTCAAATTATAATGGTTCTCTAAAAGTGCTCTTTGAAATAGTTTCTTTTCAAGTGAAGACATTTTTTTGATGAGAAAATTTTTACTAAACAAAAACATGCTTACTCTGTTGAACACATCTAACAAAAGGATCGCCAGTAAAACCAGGAGCACAGCTGCAGATGGGGTTGTGATTGACCACTTGGCACCTGGCATTGAGCCCACAAGTGCCAGGACAAGGGTCGGCACACTTCTGGTTGATACAGGCTCTGTCCTGAGCACAGTCGGCACTGACCATACACTCTGGTCTACACGAAGGTGGAGATCCGATATAGTTAGGCTGACATGAACACACAGCGTGACCACGGACTGCTCTGCACATGCTATACTGGCCGCAAGGGGAGGGTACACAGGGGTTCTTGGGCATCGAGGTCGGTGCTAGATGGAACACCATGCGAGTTAGTCATGCACATTGCCAGAGAAGCTACAGTTTTTGTATTCACAACTGTTTTAAAGTACTTTCTTTGCGTGTTTGTTTTTACAAAAAATCCTATGATAATATTTATAAATTTTACACAGCTCATAGAATGTTTATCTTATTGCTTAACTTCTTGTGGCGTACAATAAAAACCACTAATGAAATAACAAAGCAAGATGTTTTATCTATATATTAAATTGGTAAAGTAAAACAACTGATATTCTACTTTACTGTTATATTATAGAATCTTATCAAACACTAGCAATAAAAATATTGACGCTTCTCTGGCATAATAGATCATTCTCATAGAAATAATATATTAGTAAGCAGTAAATAATGAGTTCAATGTGTAAACGTGTGAATGTTCAAGATTGTGTGGGATTAAATAGAAATTATGATTTGAAAAATAACACTTAGTTAATGAGAAATGAAAAAGGAAAGATAGAGTGTAAGAATATGATAGAATAATAGTGAGCCACCACTATGTATCACTATGTAAGATATTTAAAATCAGTTTTCTCATATTGAACACCCAAATTGATGTAAGCATAAAATAAAAGAAGAACAACTTGAGTTTTAATTAATATATATTTTTTGACCGAGAGACACTCATATTCAATTGATTGACCCTACTAGAGATATTTAACCCATTGACCCTGGAATATTTATTTTTAGGTTACTTCCTTTTATGTCTTTTATCATATATGTATTTCAACAATATGTCCATACTCCATAAAAAAGGAAAGAAAAATATTAAAAATCTGTGACCCTCTTCTCTATACATAATGTAAAAAGAAGCAAAACATGTGTTGTGTGCAATCTGCAATCCCTATTAAACTCAATAATGTTGTCAACTCCACACAATCTGGACACCAATTAACTAAGGTGGGCCCTACAAATCGGCTAAGCCATCCATTATTAGGCTTAATATGGATTGCAGAAAGTACAGGATTTGAACCTGGGCATGTAGAAAGACCTCAACGTCAGTGTGGATGACAATATGTCCAAACACGAAACGTGCCGCTATAAATAAGCACACTAGCGCTTCCAAGTGAAATTCAAAGAACTAATACCAGAAGCTATACTCGGACTTAGGTTTAAGTGTTAAAATAGATAAAAAAATTATAAGCTCAAGTTTTTTATAAAATGGAAATTAGTTTGAGAATTATTGCCAACTTTTTAAAAATAAAAAGACACTATCAAGGGATTGTTTATATGTTTAGTTTAAACACTTACTTAGGAACATTATAGTGGCTTACGTAAAATATGAAAAGCATGGAACATATGTCTTACGTGGAGGGGGAGGTTGTTGACATGCAGTAAGAGGATTCCCAGTGAAGCTGGGCAAACATGAACATGAGGGAGCATGATTGATGACTCTACACTCAGCATTCTGTCCACACATGCCGGGACACGGGTCTACACATTTATTGTTGGCACACGCTCGACTGCGGGGACAATCCGAGTTGAGAACACATTCTGGCCTACAACCCGTGTACGGGTCACCCGAGTAATCTGGCAGACAAGCACATGCTCCTGCACCATTACGCTCTCTGCATACTGCGTTGGCACCACATGGCGACGGGTTACATGGATTGCGAGGTGCTTCTGGTGTTGGGGCTAAAATCATTGGACCAACTTAAACATACAACAAATATGAACATAATTTAAATTCTTCTGGAACTGTAGAGCACCAAAGCTGTCTCATTCACTTCATTCAATGATAAAATCTGTTGACTAATTGCATACTTAGACTTTTAAAGCTGGGTTTTCCTAGACGCGGAGTCGGCCAGCGGAGAGCGGACAACGGAGAGCGGAATTGAAATTAACATGGCATTCCGCTCCGCTGCTAGGAAAACAGTAACATTAAATTACCTAAGACAAGCTGAGTCCGCTCTCCGTTGTCCGCTCTCCGCTGGCCGACTCCGCGTCTAGGAAAACCCAGCTTAAAGTGTTGGTGAAAGTAAAAATGGAAAGTCAAACTAATCTTGGTACAGTTTGTGTAAGTTATGTAAGTCAGATTAATTGTTTAGTAGGCTATAAAAATTAATCCAGATAAAAGTATACTTTACAAAATAATTGTGGTATATATAGAAAATGGTTTTGATTACAGTACACTAAGTTGGCAAAAAAATACACAAAATATCCCAATAAATCATTTAACCTTACAGGACAAAAATGTAAAACCAAGCAGGATGTTGTTCTAACTTGGAGCTGGAATGTTAATAGCTCTGATCAACTGTCGTTAGCAGGAGGTTTAGTCTGGTAGTGGAGTTAATGAACGACAGAATGCGGACCAACCTTGTTGCACAATAGAACATCCATAGAATGGATCGCCAGTATACCCATCTACACACGAGCAGACAGGGGAGTGCTTGATGACAACACAATGGGTGTGGAGGCCACAAGAGCCAGGACACGGGTCTTTGCATTTCTCATTCTGACAAGCAAGATGGCCAGGACATTCTGCATTGATGGTACACTCGGGCCTACAGTTTGGTGGACGACCTATGTAGTTGGCCAGACACGAGCACACAGGGGTGTCCCCTACAGAGCGACAGACGGAGTTGGGCCCACAGGGCGAAGGCACACAAGGCTCTCTGCTCTCAATCTGTGGTGTTTCTACATAAAGCAAACAACATGCTGTAGCGCCATGCAAAGAGTGTGCAACATACTTTTACCTATTCAACAAGAAATTAAATAAACCAAGCAGAAGAGGTAAAATTGGGAATGATGAAATAAAAAATTGTTGCAAAAGCAAATTAATAAAATTTTTCATTATTATGAAAATATTAGAAAAATTTAATTTTTTTTTCAAACTCAAACTCAAATATCTTTATTTTTGACAGTCGTTACAAACTGCATAATAGCGTCAACAAAATTTCTCTTACAAATAAAAACAATATTTCTTATGGATAAAATCTAAAAACTAAAAATCATTGATTTCTTAAAAAGTCTTCTACACTGTAACAACAGCGTGGCAAAAGAAGACTCTTAACCCCTTTGCAAAATTTGTCCACACTATTTTCCATCTTCAGGGGAGCGGGCAGTGCATTGTCACAAAAGGATTAAGTGAATCGATAGCTTTTAACTATATAACATGTTTCTTCTAAATGTGAAATATGTAACTAGTCTCTTGGACTGTTTTAATAAATAAATTTATTGAGTCAAGATTTATTGCCAGGTAACACCATACATGTGTTCTAAGTAGTTTTATTTTTTATCTCAATGATAGTTTTTTTATTGAACAATATCTAAATAAAACTGGAGAAAACAGCTTGATGTTTGTTATGTTTTGACAAAATCACACTTGGTTTTGGAGGCCTTGGAAAGACATAGGATAGTGAAAGCTTAAATAATATGTATATCTATATGCACACACGAGCTGGTACTAAACATCTGGTTTAAAGATGATAGGCTATTATCTCAAAACAGTTAATCAACTCATCTCAACTTTTTTCACTATCTTTAATTATATTTTATAATGATTCTGTTTCAAAATATAACTGCTAACTATTCTGCTATTTAGTGCTATTTTTAAAAGTATCTTGCTTGAAAGTGATAAAAAAAAATATGAACATTATTTTCACAATTTTTTAAAATTACAAACATTGACAATTTTCATACCTAGAACCCCTTTTTTTTAGTCAAGAACTTAACATGATAAGTAGGCCTACTCATGCTTTAGTGAAATTTTTTCAAAGAAATACCAACATATAGCCACCCCAAAGCAGTACTCGTAAGTATAGTCAAAACATCTAAAAGTATATGCAAATGCAAACAAATTCTAATGCGTAATAACAGTACCAAGCACATGCTTACTTTCTTCTTTAAAGCAATGCAAAAATGGGTCGCCAACCAAGCCAGCAGGGCAGCTGCAGATGGCGTTGTGGTTGATGACTTGACATTTGGCTGCCACCCCACAGGTACCAGGACATGGGTCAATGCAGGACTGAGCCACACAGGCCTTGTCCTGGGGACAATCGGCACTGACCACACACTCAGGCCTACAGTGAGGTGCGCTGCCATAGTAACCGGGCTGGCACGTGCAGATGGCGTAGTCGTTGATTGGTCTACACATGCTGTACGGCCCACAGGGCGACGGGATACAAGGGTTGGTCACCATAGGAGGCACTAACAACAGATCAAGCAACCGTCACCACCAGAAACAACTCAAGTCAAGTTTAAGATAGACAAAGACATGCTTCATCACATGTATAGCTATTTGAAATCTGAATTTACATTTTAAGATTGAAAAAAATCTATTTCTTTATTTAATTAAACTTTGGAAGTTAAAAACGTATTTATAAGTAGGAATAATCTCTTGTTTTGTAATGAATAATAATAATTGTTCTTAGTAAAAATTTAAATTAGTTGCCTAAACTAATAATTAGTTATTGGTGTAAGTAGTTTTATCCTTCTTATATTTTATTGTTTAGTAAATTATTAGTTTTTGCAGGGGACTATTTCTCTAAAAACATTATTATTTGTTAGTTATATACAAAAACTGATTTGTTTAAAATCCTAACCGTAGTGTAATTTTTCTGATTAGTTTTAGTATATTAAGTTATTAGGTTTTTAGTTTTTAGTTTGGTCATTTTAATTTTACAGGTATTTGTCATATGAAAAATAACTTAACTTTGTCATATGAAAAATAACTTAACGCGTGGTTAGCATATTTTAGTGAAATCTTTTATCAACGGTTTCCAACTGTTCAAACTTCAAACCTAATACAGTATTGAGATTTTGTGAAATGGGAAGAAGGTTACGCATAAGCCAAATGATGCATGCTGAAATGCTTACAGTATTCTATAACTATGGGTCTACAGGAAGACAAAGGGTCCCCAGTGTGCCCGTGACGACAGAAGCAGACAGGCGTGTGATGACTGACGTGACACTCGGTGTTAAGGCCACAAGCTCCGGGACAAGGGTCTCTACACTTGTTGTTGATACAAGCCCTGTCCCACGGACAGTCAGAGTTGAGCACACACTCGGGCCTACATCCCACATTGGGGTCTCCGAAGTAGCCTGGGGAGCAGGTACAAGACCCCACTCCGTGACGGTTCTTGCATACCGCATTGGCCCCACATGGAGTAGGGTGGCAGGGGTCTCTCGGGGTCTGTAGGGTCACTTCTGCCACGCAATCCACTGTGCATATATAATAATAATACTCTACAGTCAAATTTAAGAGAATAATATGTGGCAAGTATCACACACTAGAAGCTGAAATAGATGGCTGAAAACCGATGTCTCTATAATTCTTCCCCATACAAATTCCAGACAGCCTGCTCATGATCAACACAAAGTCAAATATGATAACAAAAAATGTGATGTGTTTCAATAACAATAGCCAACTGAAAAAAAAACAAAAAGGTAAATCCTTACGTCGTGGAATACATCCAGCAAAGGGATCCCCAGTCATGCCAGGAGGACAGGCACATACAGGCTTATGGTTGACGGGTCTACAAGTTGCACCCGGACCACATGAGCCTGGGCATGGGTCAGTGCAACGCTCCTTGGTACAGGCTCGGTCACCCGGACACTCAGCACTGATGGAGCACTCCGGGCGACAGTTGGGAGGTCGACCGATGTAGTTGGGCAGGCAGGTGCATGCAGGGTTGTTAGAGATCACTCGGCACAGAGAGTTAGGGCCACATGGAGACGGCATGCATGGATCTGTGGGTGGCATCACCGGACACTCTAGAGGAAGGTTCACAGACAGAGACAGAGATAGAGAAGGTTAGATGATATAATGTGTGAGTGTATTAGATATGACATGATACAACTTGTTGGATTGTTATGACTTGTGTCTTAAATTAAGATATGAGACATCAAGATCCTAAGTTATGAGAAATTTAGTTGTTAAATAAATTGTAGCCTATTGTTTAAAAGCATCTAGAAAATTTCACTAAAAATTATTTAAAGAATTATTGGACAAAAACAACATTCTCAACATTTATAAAAAATACTGTTTAATTAACATGAGTTTTCTTAAATGTTCGATGATAATTGTATTTCAGATGGCAGCAAATCCAACAAGTTGTTTAAGAAATGTGTAAATGGTAAGCAAATATTAGATGAAATAGAATTGATAAATTTTTAGTAATTTAATTAATTAATCAGTTAGATGTAAGAAAAAATAACCTATATTAGGTGTTAGTTTTAAAATATAGTATAATATATAAAGAAGTCCAAGATGATAGAAAAAACTAATTCAAAATATTGTTTTTGTTAAAGAAAAATTAAATTCAAGAATAGCAAAAACACCAGTTAGAAAAAAAGCTTACTATCAGGCCTTAGACAGCGAGAAAAGGGATCCCCTGTGAAACCAGGATTGCAGCTGCAAATTGGAGCGTGGTTAACAACTTGGCAGCGGGCGTTTGTGCCGCATGTTCCAGGACAAGGGTCCACACACTTCTGGTTGACACAAGCTCTATTGAGTGGACATTGAGAGCTGACGACACATTCCGGGCGACAGGTAGGAGGGGCTCCAACATTGCCAGGCTGACAGGAGCACACAGCTAGGCCTGCGTTGGCCCGACACATGCTCATTGGCCCGCAGGGACTCGGGATACAAGGGTTCACCTGCCTCATCACCACTGCAGAGTAGTTATGAGGATGAAAGTTAATGGTTAGAGACAGAGAAGAAAAAGGCAGAGAAAAAAAATGTTATGTTACTTTACTATGCTCGGCAAGTTGTAAAATGATTATAGATAGAATACAGACAATCTTATTAATCATAATCAAAGATATTTATATGGTAACAAATTTGATAAATGTCATGTCAAAAACAATAGGTTATATAATATTCTAATGATGCAGCAAACGTTCAGACTAAGTAAGTATCTAGCAATTTGGATTTGTTAATTTTTCTTTCAAAATAGCAATATTATTTATGTTTTGATTTTCTAACAAAGTTTTTTTTTAAATTTTTAATTAACTATTTAATACCAAACTATTTTCTCAATGGAAAAAACAAAATCAAATTGTTAAAAAAATATGAAAAAACTAAGTAATATTTCTTGCCTCAAAGTTAGTAGTGTTAAGTGTTAAAAGTAGATGAAGAATGAGGATGAAATACAAGTTAGTAAGCTTACTAGTGGTTTGAGGAATAAGCTGACACATAGTCATAGGGTTGCCAGTGAATCCAGCCACACACGAGCAGAGGGGGGTGTGGTTGATGATCTGACATTGAGCATTGACTCCACACATGCCGACACAAGGGTCCACGCAGCGATTGTTGACACAAGCACGGGACTTGGGACAATCTGAGTTGAGAACACACTCGGGCCGACACCCGGTGTACGGGTCTCCTGAGTAGTTGACGCGACAACGGCAAGACCCTGCCCCCTGGCGCTCCTTGCACACAGCATTGGAGCCACAGGGGGAGGGGGAGCAAGGTCGCCGGGTCTCCTTACGTCTAACTGTAAGATTTAATGTGCAGTCTAGTACAAGTACAGTATGAGTGTCACAGTGGTAGACATTTCTAAGTTTGTAAAACATAGTTGATCAGAAATGATGAGTAAAAGTTCAAATTAAATTAAATAAACACAGTTGTTTACCTTATTGACCCTCTCACATTAGTTGTCAAATATATAAATGTAAATTAATTGTATGGTAAGGTAAGATAAATAACTTGTATAGTATTCGTTTGGTCTAAAAGGGTGACTATCAGCCAACCAAATGGAAATTAAAGCACTAAACTAAGATTACTTGTAATTAATTTTGATAGCAGCAGAACTGTGTTTAATGACAAATAATAGCATACAACACTACATACCTCATCAGACAATCCATAACTAGTAGAGTTTTGTGTGGAAAACTTGCTACATTCTAACTTACTACATATGTTTCATCAGTTATTATGATAACAGTATATAAATGGAACATATTTATAAACAATAGAGTAATAGGGCTACTATTTATGTAATAAGTTCAAACATAAAAACAAACTGAGTGCACTTTTTTAAGATATACAATTATTTACTGTATTAATAAATAATTAATACATACTAAATAATTGTATACTTTAATAATGGGTACTCATTTATACACATACATATATTGCATAAAAATATCTTTACTATAGCCTATTTTATAAAACTTAAAACATTTTAAATGTATATTACACATACTATTTTACAAGTAAAGAAACTAGATTAATGCTCTGGTATACATTACCTCATAAGTTTGTTGAAAGCCTTTCTGAAAACACCTCAATTTCACACCAACTTACAAAAATGGTTTGCATGCAAACATGCCACATCAGCTGAGACTAACTACTATAATGGCATTTAACAAACACAAAACAGCTTGTGGTAAGCAAAAGTAAAATATTTGACTAAGTGACTCCTGTAAAACACACACATTCAAAAGCTATAATATAGTGCCATAACAAGAAACATACCTGGAGTCGGGTTACAGCCTGAAAACGGATCTCCTTGGAATCCAGGATTGCAAGCGCAGACAGGTTGATGATTGACGACTGTACACTGTGCGTTGAAACCACAAGATCCTGCGCATGGATCACGGCACTTGTTCTGTACACAGGCTAACTTGGTCGGGCAGTCTGCATGGATAACACACTCGGGTCTGCAATTGGGAGGAGCCCCAAGCATTCCTGTCAGACATGAGCATACAGGTCGCTTGTCCACAACCCGGCACTCTGCGTTGGAGCCACAGGGTGACGGCATACAAGGGTTGATGGGCAGCGTTGGTACTTTGGGAGCTGGAAACATCACAGATTGAATGAACCTTTGGAGAATATTTGAAATTCTTTGGAAGATATGGTTTAGTTATCATAGTTTATAAATATTTTTTAGAAAAGACAAGTGGCTAGTTAGAAGTCATTTTGAAAAGGAATTAAGTTTTGCTATTGCATGTTGCATGACTCTGAAAATCTTAGCTAGCTTAAGAAATCTAGAGTCTAGGGGCTTACAGATACAAAAATACTATTTTTATGATCTTTTATTTGATTACCATTTCTCTGATGGGGAGGTTGAGCTAGATAAGTATCAGGTTTAAACATGCAAGGGGCTGGTCTATGGGTTATAATGCAGATCTTAAAGGGGTGGCCAAGATTAAATCCGGACAGTCACCGATAACTTTTAAGTTTTAAGTTTTAACTATATGATAATGGACTGATTCAATTGTTTGGAACCCAAATAAAGCTGCATAATCTACCTGTCGAAATAAAGGATGTGTGTCTCACCCAAAAACCCTCTTTGTAAAATTGAAAAGCTTTATGTTGTTGCAACTTACAAATTGGTTTGTGTATTTTTTTTCAATTAGTAATGTACTGTATAATAGTGTTACGTCACAACTGAACTCAGATATGTAATTGTTGATATACTTAAATGTTTTTCTAAATTGGAAGACTCCTCCACTAAAGCAATACTATAATATAATTTAGTTCGACGATTTCAGCTAATAACATTGTACTTACAATCTTCCACGCATCTGACAAACGGATCCCCAACCATCTTTGGTGGACAGCTGCATATTGGGTTGTGGTTGACCACCTGACACCTGGCATGTAGCCCGCAAGTGCCGGGACAGGGATCCTTGCACTTCTGGTTGATACAGGCTCTAGTCTGAGGACACTCGGAGCTAGCGACACACTCGGGCCGACAGTTGGGTGGGCTGCCGGTGTATCCAGTGACACAAGTACACGCTGCATTACCATTCAACACTCGGCATTGACTGTTTGGACCACACGGACTCGGATCACATGGATTGCGGGGCGGTGCCACTGCAACAACATCAACATGGCTATACCATAGGAGCCTATATGAAGAAAGTATTGTTTTTGCCAAAATTTTCGAGTTTGAGTTTTGGGTGGATAACTTATATCAGTTTTAGGTGTCCCTAAACAAACCCAAAAAAGTTGTTTTCAAGGCAATGTATGTGTGTGTGTGTGTGTGCGTCTGTATGTGTGGACCACACCTGTGGTCTGATTTTGATCAAATTTGGTATGTGGGTACTAATTCATGGTATACCTCCTGGCCTTTTTATTCATTTTTTTCAATTTGGATTTTTAATGGTGATATTTCCATAAAAACCCATAAAATAATAAATTCTAATTTTCTAAAAATTTAGCATGAACGATTTTTATTAAAATTTATCATGTTAAGCTCCTTTTGACTCTGAACAAGAATGTATAACCTCAATTGCTGTAAAAATTAAGGTTCAATAGTTATTTTAGTTATTGCAACTTTTGTAATTTTCCCCATTAAAATATACTAATTAATGGAAAATTGGGTTAAGAAAAAAACTCAAATTTTTATTAAAATTGTATGTAAGTTCTAATTCTTTCACTCTAAATGTGTTGATACAAGCCCTAGTGCTGTAATTATTACGGTTTAAAAGTGATTACAACTTTTGTGATAAATTATCAAAGTTACTCTCACTGTTTACCCATGTGCAGGGTTGTTTAGCATGCTAGAGGGAGAAAGTATGTGTCAGATTAGTCATAGTCATAGTCAAGAATCTTTATTCATAGTATACATAGTTGTACATGAATAGTGTCAAATAAGTTAAAACTAATGCTTAAAACTATGATAACACCATTTTCAATTTGTCTAAAGAGTACAAGGACAGGTCCATTAAATATGGATACAATGTAATACTGTTAAACTGTATACATTGTTGGTTATAGTCTACTGTACTATTAAAATATGGGAGATTGCTAATACTGTTTAATTATTTATGGTTGAAACAACTTCATGCGGGATTATTTTTACTGTTTTTAATTTAAAAAGTTTTTACTACAATAAAACTTTAAACCAGATTTTATTTTACCTGGTATAACTTCTTGACGGCAGGACTTGAAAGGGTCTCCAGTATATCCGGGCATGCATGAGCAGACAGCAATGTGGTTGACTACAGAGCACTGTGCGTTGATGCCACACAGCCCTGGACACGGGTCTCTACAGTGGCTAACTAAACAAGCCAGGTGTGAGGGACAGTCTGCGCTGATGACACACTCCGGTCTGCATCCCCCTGTGTACGGGTTACCCTGGTAGGGAGGGATGCATGTGCATCTAGCCATCCCATCGGGACTCACTGAACACTGAGCGTTCTCTCCACACGGTGACGGGGAGCAAGGGTCTGTTGGCACTGGTCGTTCTGCAAATATTTCATTTATAAGAGACTTACCATCAACTAGAACATTTCCTCTGTACTTAAGAGCCTAGATTACTTTCTTTGCTAAATGAATATTTATGATGTTGTAAAATATTATCTTTGGGTGGTTTTTAACAAACTACAAAAGTACTAAAATATTACATACAGTCCTCTGTAAAAAATTAAAGTTTGAAAGTAAATAACACTAGTTAATTATGTCATATTAAGATAAATAAAAAACAATACAGATATTTTTAATGATTAATATTTATGACAATATTAATTCAATTGGTTGGGTGACTCCAGCCAGTAAATTATTTTTATCTTTCTTTATTTAAAGTTTTTTTACACACCTGCTGGTATTTTGGAACATCCTATGAAAGCGTCTCCTTGGTAGCCCAGGAGACAGCTGCAGAAGGGTGTGTGATTGACAACGTCACACTTGGCGTTGAGACCACAGCTTTGTTTGCAAGGGTTGCGGCACTTCTCTTGTATACACGCCTTGTTGTAAGGACACTCCTGACTCATAACACACTCTGGACGACAGTAGGGCGGAGTGCCAATGTAGTTAGCACTGCATGAACACACTGGTCGTCCTTGCTTTACTTGGCAGATAGAGTTGGGACCACAAGGAGATGGCTGACAAGGGTTACCTCCTCCCGGCACTTTAGGCTCTTCATCTGAGGAAAACAATTTTTTTTTAATATTCTAAACATGATATTCTTTGGAGATTCCTCTCAAAAGAGGAATTCTTTTAGATTGAAATGGTTCCTCAACACAAGAAAATGAGGAGCCTAACTATTCATATAATTCTCAATTTGTATTTGTTATAACTATGTCTTGTATTCTATGTAATGTATATTATATGTCAATTGTTATTTTGTTGTATTGTTGAATGAATATTTTGAATTTAATTGAATTGAAAAAATACTAGGCAGTACTTCTTTGCAGTACTTGATAATATGATTTTGATTAGATAAGCATGTGGATAAATGGAAAATGATCTAATTAGGATAGAAAAACCAACCTTAAAAAAATCAGAAGTATTTGTCAATTAGTTGTCTACATTATTAAAAGAATTTTTTGGATTTTTGTGAGCAGCCCCCTAAATATTTGTTTTCATAGACATATTGGGTATCAATTTAAAGCTCTTATCCTCTAGATGTGCCTTTTGCGAGTTTGGATGATATCCCGTGAAAGCTCTTCGTCCTATAGGCTTTTAAAATTTCATAGTTTGTGCTGAATTCTATTGTCAATCATCAGAACTTTTTCAAGTTTACATTTGTTTACATCAAAACAGATGGCCATGATACAATTTTGTTTACATCCATACGAAAATGGGGTTATCTGTAGTTGGTGATGTTTTAGTTTTAGGGAATTCAAGTAAAATGTTGTAATGTTATTTGTATAAAATGTAAAGAAGAAAATGACTTGCGTCAGATTTTGTGTTTTCATACTTTAATACTTTCAGTACTTTTCATTGAAATGGCGACCATACACAGTAGGTATTTTAAGCCAAGTAGAATGGAGATGATTGTAGGATGAGTCTTGAAGCGATCTTGTAGTCTTGTTAGTGACTAAGGCCGACTTATTCCTTAGACACAGCTGTTAATTAATAGCACATAGTATGTTTTATTGATGGTTTTGGGAATTCAAGCAAAATATTGTGATGTTCTTTGTTTAAAATTTAAAGAAGACTTTGATTAGATTTTGGTTTTTCATAGTATGTTTTATTAGCATTTGTAATTTTAATTTTTCTAAGATGCCTCGAAGAGATCGCGCACGCAATGAAAATAATAGGGCTTGCAATGCAAATAATAGGGATATGATGAGAAATAATAATTTTCACCCTTATCAACTATAAATCAAATATATCACGGATTTTGAAGTCACGAAGTGGCGCAGGTTGCTAGTTACAAATTAAAATACTTTAGTTGCAGCCAACCTGAAATAATATTACAATTTGCTAAGTTTAGTTTTGTTTCATAATTTATTTAAATGAATGGGAGTTACAGTCTGATTTATTTGCCAAAACAGAAAAGAATTACTCACCAACGGGTGCAAGTTGACAACTGGTGAAGGGATTGCCAATGAATCCAACAGGACAGCTGCAGATGGGATTGTGATTGACCACAACACATCTGGCATTGAGTCCACATGTTCCAGGACAAGGGTCCACACACTTGTGGTTGATACAGGCTTGGGTCTGAGCACACTCGGAGCTGACCACACACTCGGGCTTGCACACTGGTGGCACTCCACGGTACCCTGGCAGACAGGAACATGCGGCGGCACCCACAGGTGTGATGAGGCACCGAGAGTTAGGACCACAGGGTGATGGGTCACACGGGTTACCAGGATGTCCCATGTCACTAATAGTCGGGTATTCTGGAAAAAAAACACATTTTGTTCTCAACTTATAATCAACTGTTAGAAGATAGGTCCATATTACTTAAAATTCAATCAAAAGTTATTCTAGGCTAACAATGTATTTCTTCACATATTTTTATCTTATCAAATAATGGTTCATGACAAATTTCACAAAAACATGTTTTAGGGCCTATCTATTTATCAAACCAATTTTTGGCTAAATTATATAAATCAATAAACATAAAAAATCTAGTGAATGAGTTTTAAAAACATTAAATTTTAACACACTAAATAAGAAAAATTACCTGGTCTGAATGGGTAGCAGGAAACAAATGGATCACCAGTGTGGTCTTGAGGACAGTAGCAGACAGGGACGTGATTGACGACCTGACAGTGAGATCCGATGCCACAAGCGCCTTGACACGGGTTCACACAATGGTTGTTGACACACGCTTGCTCAGTGGGACAGTCACAGTTGAGTACACACTCAGGACGACATCCAACGTAGGGGTTACCAAATGTTCCTGGGAGACACTTGCACGTCACCATGCTATAGCTTTCATGGCATTGGGCATTTGGTCCACACCTTGTACGGGAGCAAGAGTTGGGCAGGTCCACGGCGTCTGGAGCAACACAGGCGATATATATTACATTTAAACAGATAAAAATATCTAAACAATAATAAAAACAATTTCTTTCATACTTTAAGAAGAAATAATAATAGTCAAAGATAAAATCTAATCAGATATCTTACCATAGAACCTACAAATTAATTTTCCATCAGCTGATAACACAGACTAAATATATCTGATTGGTGAAAATGTAATTTTATATAAAAATATGACACTGACAGTTTTTTATCGTTTTAAAGTTACCGTAAATATCTATATCAATAATTCGTGTTCGAAGCCATTTTTGTGTAAACATTACTCCTACCTTATTTGTAGACCAATTTAAACGTTAAAAAATTAAACCAATGACACTGACTGATTTTTATCGTTTTCAATTTACCGTGAATATATATATATATTGAATACAGAATTTAATGACATTTATCAATTTAGTTTTTTAAATTGATTCTATAAGAAAACAAATTGAACTGAGCAGACTTGTAAAGTAATTTACCTGGAGGAGGCGGCACACAGTGTTCAAAAGGGTTGCCGACAAGTGGGTGAGGACAGGAACATATTGGGTTGTGGTGGTAGACAGAACATTGAGCGTTGACTCCACAAGATCCAGGACATGGGTCCCGACAGCTCTGACCCAGACAAGCCTTGTCAAACGGACAGTCTGCATTGGTCAAACACTCCGGGTAACAGGCCGGGTCATAGTGGGAGCCTGGCCTGCCACATGGGTCACACATGGCCACCATCGGCCCATAGACGTTACATGTAGCGTGCGGGTCACATGGTGATGGGTGGCACGGTAAACTGGTGTTGGTTCCTACCACTATAACGGGCTCTGCAAAAATCAAATCATTACACATAATAGAGCCAGTTCAGTACCATAATATGAACTAAACACTGCTTTCAAATCAAAATTTATAAATTTGCATTAATATAGTTTTTCGATAGTTTTAAAACAAAAATTTTACTTTGGTATTAGCCATGCAAAACTGCAAAATAAAAGAGGCATTTTATATTTATTTTAGCGAATTTCCCTATAGGGAAGTAGCTATTACCGTAGGTCTCATAGTAAGACTTAGGCCCGGGACCGATTTACTTTTTCATTTTAATGTCCCCAGAGGCCAAAAATACCATTCGTTCAAATTTTTATATATGTATATATATATATATATATATATATATATATAGATTTATATATATATATATATGTGTCCGTGAACACGATAACTTGAGTAATTTTTATCCGATTTTGATGAAATTTGGTTTGAAGGTGTAAGGCGGGATAAACTTGAATGAGTTTGCGATCCAGCATGATCGGACCATGGGAACAGGGTTTTATGGGGGGTTTTATGGGGTAAAAATTGGTTTTACTCACTTTTTACCCTCAAAACATAAAATTTCCCAATTTTTCTCTAAACCTTCTTAAAGAGCTTGAAAAAACAAACAATTCAGTATATCAAAGTGTTTTTGTACGGTTATTGGTTACGGAGAAAACTAAAAAAATGGTAAATTTAAAATTCCCATGTTATTCTTATGGAGAATATTGTCAAAGGTTGTAGTTTGCTTGTTTATGGATATATTTTGATCAAACTTGGCAAATTTATTTATTTTATAGTAAGCTATCAATATTTTACTAAAAACACACTACTTTATTAGTTTCCTTGTAGCAGCAAACCTAGGTACTCGTTAAACCTAATGTTATTTAAATAGATCAATTGAAAATCAATTCGGCCAAATGGAAATTCGCTTAGACGGCAGGTTTGCTGCGGCGGGGGTATTTTAAACCTTTGCAATTAGTTATGTCAACTTTTTTAACACTACCAAAAGCATAACCCTTAGTCAATAATGTTGACAAAAGTGAATAAAACTAAAACTAGGTTCAAACTGAAACTTTTCAGTACAAGAACTCACGTATGGGTATGCATTGTACGAATGGATCGCCAGTGAATCCCTCTAGACAACTGCAGCTTGCAGTGTGATCTTTGCAAGAACAGATGGCACCAAGTCCACATATGTTACCCAGGGAGCACGGGTTGACACAGTGTTGGTTGACACATGCTTGGTTTGGTGCACAGTCACTGTTGATAACACACTCTGGACGACAGCCGTGGTGAGGGTCTCCTACAGTGTCTGGCAGACACGAGCACACAGCTCGCCCTCCCAGCACCTGACACAAAGTGTTGAGGCCACAAGGAGAGGGGTAGCACGGGTTTCTCTCAGGAACATCTTCTGCAACACATAAAACACGATGCTGCTTTAAAACATAACTTGAACACAAACATTCCATCTGTGATATATATATGTACTTTTTGAATTGGTTAATAAATACATTAGTGATGTGTCAAAACGTAATCCAAATCCATCAAAACTTTGAACAAGTTTTGGTTTCGAGATTCAAAAGTTTCAAAATTGAAGATTTTGGCAGTTTTATTTTTGATTCTGCTGACATTATTTTATGCCATTATTATTGTTTTTAACACTGGTTCCAAACAAGCTGGTAGCAATAGAGCAAACATATCACCATTAACAGTAATGAAACAAGTAAATTTTATTCTGAATTTCAAAAGGTAACATAAATACTAGCCTACTTAAATAACTGGAACGATTCAGTTTCACATCAATATTTACTAAACACAAAGAAATATTGACCACTAAATGTTCTAATTAATCTAATATTCATGTTTATGTTGGTGTTACAAGTTTAACTATTTTTTTTTTGTTGGTTGTTTATAAAAATTATGTTGTATTGGGTTTTGAGATTATCAGTCACATATTTATGTTATGTCAGGGTCAGGAGTCGATCTCTTTCAGTTTTGATTGCATGCTTAACATTTTATAATTATGTGTATTTTTTGTAACCTTGACCAGCTAAGTGAAAAGGTTTTGCGTTTAGGTTTTGAGATTAGAAATTTCTGGTTTTGACCATCACTAAAATACATAATTACATAATCATTAGATACTTCTGTCATCAGGTAACAGTTTAACTTGTAGAGGAGCAAGATCAGATTTGGCTGAAACACCAGGTTATTTAAACCAAGATGGTTAAGTCAAGTACAAAATTAAAATGTGATGGTAACAGCTTTTAATATTTCTGTATTGTTTCTTGAAAATGCCAATCTCTGTGATAGGGCTTTCTTTACTTTGTAGTCATACTACAAGCAGCAATAGATTTTTAAAGTTTACCAGGTATGGGGTAGCATCTAACAAGAGGGTTGCCAGTGAGGCCGTGAGTGCAAGTACACACTGGATGATGTTTCTCTACACGACACACAGAACCCACACCACAGGAGCCTGGGCACGGGTCACGACATCTGTAGCCCATGCAAGCCAGGTGCAGTGGACACTCATCATCTATCCTGCACTCTGGTCCTCCACACCCTGCTGTAGGGTCTCCTTCCATGCCGTCCGGACACACACACATCGGGTGACCTGAGCATACAAGAGATATTATATGATTAACATTTTTCAGACATGTTGTATATGTTCACATTTATCATACAACTATTTTATTTTTGTTTCAAAGCATTTATCAAAATTCATTAAGCATTTTATTATTTATCCGCTGGAAATATTGATGGTTTGAAGACTTTACCATCATTGGTGACGCTGCAGAGGGCCAAAGGTCCGCAAGGGTTGGGTGTGCAGGGACTCGCAGGTGGTAAGTGACAGCCAGAATAGGCGTCTCCGATGTAGCCTGGTCGACAGTAGCACTGTTCAGTGTTGCCAGTCACATAACAATCGGCATTCGGCCCGCATGGTCCTGGCTGACACAGCGACTTTACTGGTTCTACAATAACAAATACATCAGTCACTATAAAATGGTGGTATGAAAAATGTACTAAATTGATATTTAATGTTGTATTTTATATAGGCTTAATTTATATTATTTTAAACCAATAAAAACTATAAATGTTGCTTTAAACCTACAATTTTTTTAATGTTTTTTTAAACTTTAAGCATCTACTATAAACTTACAATCTCAAAGCAGCACTAATTTTATTGTATCATAAATTTTGTCGAGAAAGGATACCAATATTAATTTCCTAAAATGGGAGAAAAACAATAAAATTCTTATCTCAAGTTCAAGTATGACAGGAAGTACTTACGAACACAATGTTTGAAAGGGTTCCCGACAAGTGGTTCGGGGCAGAAGCAGGAAGGTTGCCGGTTGGGATCACAGATGGCTCCAGGCCCACAGGGACTGGGTTGACAAGGATTCCTCTTCTCTACACATCCTCGGATGGTGTTAGGGCTCTCTACATAGCCGGGGAGGCAGGTGCACTTGGCAAAACCATTGGACAAGATAGCACACTGAGTGTTGGGCCCACAAGGTGAAGGTTCACAAGGATGACTTGGCAGCGTGCAGGCTTTCTGTGGAGGGTTTCCTTCAAACTCTGGCAGACAAAAGCACTGAGGTCCACCGTGGACAACTCTACATCCTGAGTTGGGTCCACAAGGGTTGGGCGTACATTCATCTCCTTCTGGTACTGAAAACAGGGCAGAGTTGTTTGTGTTAATACACCAAAATGCTTTTTATTTATATAAAAAAATACTGAATAAATAAATACCCTCGCCGCACTAAACTGCAAAACTAAGGTATAAATTTCCATTTGCCTGGTTCCATTAAGACTAAAATATTTCCTTAAAATGTCAGATTTGTTTCCTTTATAAATTAGGTTTAATGCATAATTAGTTTTGCTTCTACAGGGAGGGTAATAAAGTGTGTTCTTGGTAAAATGCCAATGGATTAGTACTATGAAATAAACAAAATTGGCCAAACTCGATCAAAATATGTCCATAAACAGCAAACTACAGCAGTTTATTTACTCTCTATTTATAAGAAGAATAACATAATAATTTAAAATAAATTTTTTTTGAATTTTTTCTCTAACTATTTAGGGTACAACAATGTTTTTATATACAGTACTAAATTATGCGTTTTGTAAGCTCTACAAAATGTTTTAGAAAGAAATTGCAAAGTTTTAATTTTGAAGCTCAAAATGGGAAAAACCTATTTTTAGAGATAAAAATTACAAACGTTTTTGTGGATGAACCTCTCCCCCCCCCCCCCCCCCCCCCCAATAAAACACTGTTCCCATTGTTTTATCATGCTGGTTTTTGATCTTGTTCAAATAAACGAAGGTTTGGACCAAATTTTGACATAAATAAATATATATATATATGCATTTGAACAAATAGTCTTTTTGGCCCCTGGAGGCCTCAAAGTAAATCGGTCCTGGAGCAAGGTCTTAGCATGATACCTGCGGTAATAACTGATTCCATATATGGAAAATGCACTTAAAAAATCCAATGCTAGTCTTTTAGGTAACAAAAATACTCAATCATATTTAAAAAATGTTTAGTTATTAACCGTACATTAATAAATACTAGAGGTCGTCCAAATGTCAAAAATTTGACCAAAAATATGTAATCTGAAAATAAAGGATACGTCTAATAATACTTGTAAGTTTAAGTTTAGGTTTACAAGTGTTATAAGACGTAACCCTTTTTTCAGGTAATTTAATTACACGTACGAAGCTTATCAAGAAGTTATTCAAAATGTGTAATGTACAGACTTCTTTTTTTCACCCCACGCTGTAAATAAAACATGTGATTGCAATTTCTTTCATTTGTTTTGATTTTATATTTATATTTCGTCACCAGCATGGCATGAGGACACTGTTAATTTTTTTTATATTTAAAAAACATTTTTTGTGCTTATTTTTAATCCTATTTTAACATCTACAGGAAAATGTATTTCTAACAGTATGCGTATATTTTCCCTGCGATGCACACGAGCTAAGAAAAAAGGCTTTTTAGAAACATGATTGCCTCTTAATACATAGGATATTTAAGGCTGCAATAAAAGAAGAGAATAACTTACTGCAATTCTTAAATGGATTTCCAGTCATTCCTTTTGGGCAGAAGCAGATCGGATTTCCATTATCAATCTCACAAAGAGCATTGAACCCGCACGGATTTGGATCACATGGATTTTGAGGAGCTGAAAAACCAGTGCCATTTAAGTTTTACATTAAACTAACATGGAAAATTATTAACTTTTAATAAACACTTATCATTAGCAATATTTGTTATGCTAGTTATTAATTTAACCGTGGGATTTAGTTGGCCTACCTGTGCAGCCTGAGAGAGGGTTGCCAGAATAGCCTGGTGGACATTTGCAGGAAGGTCTGTGGTTGTTGACCTCACACACAGCGTTGGGACCGCAGCGGCAAGGGTTGGCACAGTTACCGTTGATACACGCTTCATTCTTTGGACATTCTCTGTTACTCTTGCATCCTGTCACTGTGAAAATACATCTACTGTCAGTCTCATTATTGACAGAGGGAGAATCTCCTCCTACTGGCCAACTGGGTGTTGTAATAACACGAGTCCTATAATGCAGTAGTATGAATGCAAATAAGAGAGTATTCTAAAACATCCATGATTTGTGTTCAAAGGTTTATTGCGGACATTTTCCATCACGATGGTAAAAAAACAATACACAACGTTTCGGAATCTGAAATCTGATCCCGTCCTCAGGTGAAAAAACTTAACTAACACATTACAACTAACAATAGTAGTTAGTTAAGTTAACTAACTAACACTAAGTTAATACTAACACTAACTAAGTTAACTAACACATTACAACTAACAATAGTAGTTAGTTAAGTTTTTTCACCTGAGGATGGGATCAGATTCCAGATCCCGAAACGTTGTGTAGGCCTATTGTTTTTTACCATCGGAAAATGTCCGCAATAAACCTTTGAACAACATTAACTCACAATCACCAACAATGAATTTCAAACAAAGAATCCATGATTCATTTAGTAATATTCTTCTTTCTGAATTGTTTTGTAATTTACTGTACCTGAAGGTTGACTTTACCTGGGCTACACTCGATGTAAGCATTGCCCTGAGTGCCGGGCAGACAAGAGCAGGATATTCCATGATTGGTTGGCACACACTCTGCGTTGTCTCCACAGGAGTCTTCTTGGCATGGGTTGATGCAGACTCTGTTGAGACGGTCACACAACTTGTCTGGTGGACAATCTTCATTGTACTGACACACAGGTCTGCGTGAGTCTCCCACTGCACAACATACACTAATGTTAAAAAAACAATCATGTATACTCAAAACAACTATTCAAATTATATTTTTATTAACTGAGCAGAAGTAGAGGTCCCTTGAAGATAGCATTGCACATCAAGGCCAAAATGTTGGTCAACAAAAGTGTTTATCGATTTTGACATGGTTGTTGCCCGAAGACAAAGAATCTGTATGTCACCATGAAAGCCCACTAATGAAAATTATTTATTATTACATTTTTACTAATATCTAAGTTTGTAACCTTTTGTTAGTTTTAGGAACACACAAAAACTTTCACATTCAATTCAGCAGCACCCATGATACATGTAAAATAAAATACTTTACCTGGCAAACATCCGACCAAGCCATTGCCGTGGAAGCCCTCAGCACAGCTGCACTCACTGCCGTGGTTGGTGTTGATGCAGACAGCGTGTTGTGCACACGGATTGTGCACGCTGCAGGGAGGTTGACACACACCACTGATGCACGCTTCTGTTACTGCACACTCCTCATTGGCGTGACACACCACTACAAGAGCCAGGGAGAGTACAGGAAGAGTCAAGAGTTGAGAGAGTAGAGGTATATACACAGAGTGTAACAGTTGTCCCAAGAGCTGGTGCGAGAGTGTCGCACATTACTTTACAACTGTACAGTCGTCATGTATATATGACACTAGGTTTACAATTATTTACAGACAATTACCACTCCAAATTCAGACATAGAACTTTTTTATGAATGAAAAATAAGGTTTAGAAAAAGTATGTTGGTAATCATGTATTTCAAAGGTACTTTTACTATAAAACGTAACTCTTAGTAATTTGATTATCTTGTTCTACTTTTACTTATATAACAGGTTTTCCTAATTAGTTACTAGTAAATAGTAACTAAAAGTAGCTGGCTAAGGTTTATAAATTCCCTCAGTTAAACAAGTGAATGAATTTGGAGCAGCGTTTAGTTAAATACCTATGTGCACACTATAATTTATTACAGATTTTCTAATGTGACTTCTAACTTGAAACAGCTTAAAGTACATTCACTCACTCACACAGGAAAGGTAGGTTAATAAATAAATATACAAAGGACTTAGGGTTAGGGTTAGTGTTTCTATACAATATTACTGCTGAACTGTGCTGTCAGTTGCATAAATACACCAAAGGCAACTACGTTTTGTTGATATTAATTAAAATTGTCCAACAATGTGATAAATAGGGTAGGTAGTCGAACCTGTAAATTATTACACTAAATCCGGTTACGATGCCATGGATGGTGGGTAGAGTGACAGACTGAGGGTCCATGGCATGATGTCATGAGTTTATGTCCTGGCTTTGGCCAATATATTTTATAAGTACAGTTAACTCTTGTACTAAACCAGTTAACCTCACGCTTTGCCGAATACTTTTCACACTTAGGCTTGAGGGTAGACGAGGAAATGCAATGTTAAATAAACTACCAAACTTTTTTCTATTTCAGTGTATGGACTAAGAGTATAAATTTAATTTTAATCTGAAACTTCTTGAATGTAATCCAATACAGCAACTTGAAATTTTTGCTTTAACACATTCGCTACTGCAGTAGTACAAAATTTTTCATTCACATGGACCAGCAACACACATATGCGACGGCCGGTTTCTACCCATAGACTGCCGTCGCATATTTGCGTCGGGGTTTTAATGTTATTAAAATGCTTATATCTTTGTAACGGTCTACTTGAAGGCACTGAACTCCCTGCAGTGGTCTACAGAGATGTCTGACGCACAACTGCGTCGCTTGGTCTGTGGATATGATGATTGGTGACGTCATAATGATAGTTGAAAAAACTGGTATTTACTTTTCTGCATCACTGTATGTATGTGTGCTGCATTATCCTATGTAGCTTTTATATTTGTTCAGTTATAAGCTGTTCTTGAATAATCTGTTTTGTTTACTTACTTTTACCTCAAAACACAAACAAAAATGAACTGTCGCATATATGCGACATTTGGTCTATTTCAAGAAAACTACTATAATTTTCACTATTGTCTTCGCTGTAGACCGGGCGTCGCAAATATGCGACATTACAAAAGGTTATAAGAAATACAAACGAACAAGAATGAATTATTTACAAACACGATTGTAGCGTATTACAATGTAAATGATCACTGTTTTACAGGTTTTCGCCCATGGTCTGTGTGTACTGTTAACCAAGTGACACCCGGTCTATGCCTAAGATTCAAATATATACCTCGGTCTGTGGCAATGACCGCGGCGTCGCATATATGCGACGCTCAGTAGCGAACATGGTTAATAGGTTTGCTGCAACAATAGTTTATAAGTAATTTTTAATTTTTCCTAATTAGTACTGATTTCAGTGATTTCTTTTACTAACAACCCATTCCAAAACTTTGCAGATAATTATTTTAAGGTATCGATTATGAACCTGTCTGAAAGATTTGTTGTTGTCGGATGTATGGTACATGAATGAATTAATAAATAGATAAATATACCATGTAACCATTCAATGTATAAAAATAATAACTCATCAAAACAACCAAATGTGATTACACTAATTAAAAGAATCTCGTGTATTTACAAAGACAACAATGAACAACAAACAATTGTTGTAATATGCAACAAACCCTGTTACCTGGTTAATATGGTAAGTACGCCTAATTGGTTTTTCAATCTTGACAGTCTTCAGGCTGAAGAACAATGCTGCAAACTATTTAAACACTGTTTTAAAAAAGTTCCTCGAATCACGTGGTAAAATAAAAAAATGTTGGTAAAATCATGAGGTAAAACTTCCTTGATAAGAGCAAGTACAGCCTTATTGACGTGTGACATATACAATCTAAACGGACAGCACAGCTCAATGCAGAGTACAGCAAACCTTACATGGCTGTGGCAAGAAGCATTTTAGTGCGGGATTCCCCTGGTATCCCGGTGGACAAGTGCAGACAGGTCTGTGTTTGACGACGTGACACTTGGCGGTCGGAGCACACAGGTTAGCCAACCCGCACAAGTCTTCACACACTCCGTTATAACAAGCCTCTGTGTCCAGACACTCAGAGTCCCACTCGCAGGGACGAGGACGTTTCGCGCTTCCTCCAGTCACTAATCCCCCCATTGCATTGGATTAGTAACCAGCCACAGTGTTATTGGAAATATTATTGAGTTAAGCCGTATGTGCAAAGTTAAACCTTTAATTTTTTTATTGCTGAGTTAGATTTTTAACTATTAATATTGGTTTAAAACTAATAAAAAAATTGATGATAATTTGGGCACAGAATAATTTTTTTAAATATCCAAAGTGTTTTCGTTATATTTAAATGAAATTGAAAAATTGTTGTTAGTTTTAATGAAGTTGACTAATTCTTGCTTACGTTTGACAATAAAAGCCGCTATAGAAAATGGAAATTCAATCGTCTTTTAATATCCAATATTTTTTGTAAGTTTTGTAAATAGGTATCCCTTTTTCTTCTAAAAACTACAGGTTCAATTACACCGACTGTTTAAATCAAAACAGAGAAATGAGAATATTGTTGACTTACTAAACTTAGCATCGTTACTTTACCCATTTTCGTTGTGTAGAACTGAAAAATATATTATGCAAAATAGCGACACAAATAACTTTTAAAACTCAACCAAAATAATGATTTTCAAATTACAACTGATTACTGCTGAACAAATTTGTTTTTGGCTCAATAAAAACCATGCAAACTAAATCAAATTGATATACTGTGCACTAAACAACAAGGTGTGAGGCACAATTTAGGCCTAATATACGTTACTGCAATTAAAAATTTAACATGCTACTAAGTTATTTACAATAATAATAAATATAACTTGTCTACAAAAAACTGCATGCAATTCGTATAGCAAGAAAGTTAAACGTTAATAAAAAAAGATTACTTCTAGTATATTTACATTTTATACCAATGTTCACAATAGATTGTGAAAGAGAAAAGAGAAGATTTATTAGACTAGAAATTATATTACAATAGAGTTAATGTGTGAGTATATACCTCGAAGACACTGGGGGTATCTGCCAGTGGTGCCAGGTGGACAGGTAGTAGGAGTTACCAAACTGACGGTGGAGCGCTCGCACTTGCCAAGTCTGCACGTCTCCCCCTCAGAACAATCCGAGTCGCTGTTACAGTGTCTAGAGTGTTCAAGTGTGGTGCCTAATGTCTTTGTAAGTTGAGTGGGTGTGTTAGTTGAAAGTTCACCTAGGCCAGTAACGGTTTCCTGATTTACAGTTTCAGTCATTGATATTAGTGTTGTCCCTAAAATGTTGGATTCGGTTGAGGTAGTTTCTCCAAATGATAATGTTGTGGATTCAGTACTATCTGGTACATCAGAAAAAGTGGTTTCATCTGTAAAATCTGTTGTTGTTTCAAGCTCTGACTTTAGTGTGGTTGTTTGGGAGATAGAGCTGATAGTAGTTGTTAGATCATTACCTCTTGTAGTGGTAGTTTGGAATTCATTCTCACCAGATTGATTTGTTTCAACCTCAACCTTAAAAGTTGTGGTTTCAAATGACTCTCTTTCTGTTTCAGAAAGTATAGACAAAGTTTTAGTGTCTACTTGGCTGGTTGTTATCTCTAGCCATTCACTTGTTTCATTTGATAAATTTTTGATTGTTCCTTCTGTTGTTTGCATCAATGTTGTTTCAGGCAAGCTACCAACTGTTGTTTCAAATGTATCTTTTAATGTGGTTGATTTAGGTGTTGCATCCATTAAATCAAAATCTGATGTTGTAGTGTCTAGAAGATCTTTAGAAGTCACTATACCTGGGAACATTGCAATGGTTGTCTTTTCAAAAATACCTGTTGTTTCAGACATTTTTCCAGTAGTTTTCTCGAAAGATACAGCCGTTGTTTGTGAAAAACTTGCAGTTTCTGTCATATTTTCTGACATTGTAGTTTCTGAGACTTTGATAGTGGTATCTTCAATTGAAATTTGGTTTGTTGTTGTATCTGATAAACTTGGTGATGATGTTTCTTCAGAAATAATTGTGATTTGAGTTGGGCTCGGAGATGTTGTATCTGATAGCTGTCCAAGTGCTGTTTCTGTTGACAAAACACTTATATCAGGTGAGTTAGCAGTAGTTGTTTCAGGCGACAAATCAAATTGTGGGATTTGTGAGAAAATTGTATTTTCTTCTTCTTGATTTGTTGATGTTGTTGTCTCTAGTTGATTATCAATAGTTTTGTCTTCAGTAAGAATGGTACTAAATTCTTTTTTTGGAAATGAAGTTTTCTCCAACAGAAAACTTGATGTGGTTTCTTGAAATGTGACGGTTGATGTTTCTGGTGAAGTAATCGTAGTCATTAGCAGATCTTCTGTTGTTTCTTGTGTGATTCCTGATTTAGTTTCTGAAAATATTTCTGAAGTTGTTATTTCCGGCAGTAGTTTATCAGGTTTTTTACTAGATAAAATAGTTGTCATTTCCTGAAACATTTCAATTGTTACGTCTTGTGTCACATCAGATGTAACTTGTTCTATGTCTGCAAATGTAGTAGTTTCTGATCCTTTAATTACAGTTTGCATTCCCATAACTGATGATTCCTGTGATTTTTTTGTTATTTCTGACAAAGAATCGACTGTTGTTTCACCTGAAGATGGAGTAATGCTTATTGTTTCTTCTCCTCCCTTAAAATTTGTGATATTTTGTTGAGATTCAGTTGATATTTCAGGGAAACTAGTTATTTCAGGTGCAATACTTCTCATAGTAGTGATCTGAATATTATTGTCAGTTTCTATTTCTTTGTCTCCTGTAAATTTTGGTTCCTCTGTGCTTTCAGTCTCATCATGTTCTAGACTTTGGGTAGTGACTTTCTCTGTGCCTCCTTCATTTAAAATAAGTGGGTTGGATGTGGTTTCTTCTATTGGTGTTTTTTTAGTGGTAAAAAAGGGCCTTTCCTTTTCTTCTTCTTGTGTTTCTAAATCACTAATTATAAAGTCAGTCTTTGTGGTAGCTGTATCAATAGGAAAGGCAGATTGAGCCACTTCACTACTTTTAATTACTGATTTAAAAGTTGTGGAATCAGTCTCAAATTGAACATTCTGACTAGTGCTATCATACAAACTAAATATTGAAGGCTGGAAAGTTTGAACACTAAATTCAGTTGTTGGTTGGTTAGAATCTGTATCAGGAAATTGAGTTTCTTGTTCTTGTTTTCTTTCGGTGGTTTCAGAAGCTGTTTTAAGGGGCTTATCAGTTGAAAACTCAACATCAGATGTGATTTCCATTCCAGGTAAAACTATTAGCGTACTTTTGGTAGTGACAATACTTTCTGAAACAGGAACTGACTGAGTTTTAGAATCTTGTGATTCAGGCTTATTATTAGTATTCATTCCTACTTCAGTAATCGTGTTAAACATTTCTGTACTGGTAACTAATTCAAGGACATTCTTTTTTGTAACTGGGTCCTCATTCCCAAGTATGACAGGTTCAACTCCATTCTTTGGCATTTTTGCAGACACTCCGCTTACTCTTGGAGCCTCTGGAGCAGTGCTTGGCACACTGACTGTTGTCTGGTCTTCTGTTTTAGTAACTACTTCAAGACCATCAAATACTGATTCAAAACGTGAAGTAATATCAAATTGGTTATCAAGTTCATTAATGGAAGTAAAAGATGTAGGACTGCTTGTGGTTGTTTCGGATTCTATTGCTGTTATATCTGACTCGTCTTTAAGCCTGAGTGTTGTTTGATCAGATGATTCTTCACTAGGAAGTGTGATACTCAAAATATTCAATGTTGTTCCCTCCGAATATTCATTGGTAGGAGATTCCTCTGTACCAGTCCGCATAGTTGTAAGATCCGTATAAGATGTTGTTTCTGGCTGAGCAACAACAGTAGTTTTTTGAGTAACTGTAGGAATAAAGTCGGGAGCTTTCACCTGTGGCTGAACGGGTGGAGGAAATTTGGTTGTAAGTTCATCATCATTATTTGGCCAAATTGTAGTTTCAGAAATCAAGGGTACAGTATCAATGTATTTTGTTTTAGGATTTTCACGAAAAGCTGAAGTAGTGGTTTCAATGAAATCAGGTTGTTGTGTAGTTTCATTTTCACCTTCATCTATAGAGCTTGTTGAAAGACTCTCGTCAGTATCAGTTAAAGAAGACGTGAAAGAGTCGACTGAAAGCGTAGTTGTCTCAGCAGAAGGAGGGAACGTGCTGCCAGCTTCTGTTAGCCGACCCAAGAGAAACACAGAGAAATCACACACAAAGGCAATAGTTAGTGAGGTTTAAGATGCAAGAGCAGTGCAGAATGCATAAATTTCAAAAGAATAAAACATAGTTAAAAGTTATTTACATTTATTTACAATTTAAGTGCAACAAACTGAATTAATACAAGGACTATTATTTACAAATAGAGGTGAATAGTTTTGCTTTAAATATCCATTATATATTTATTTACAACAGTAAAAATACACTACTCATAGACTTGTGGAGAAGGATTTATAAAGCATTACCGTTCCCATCAAATCATGCTTTTAATTCAAGTCATGCAAGGAGGTGCAACAAACATTCTTCACACATTCATTCATCTTAACCAATAGCAAGCAAAAAACCTTAAATCATTTCATATCCTAAAGTTTTACAATGCTTAAAATCTAAAGACATCGAAGCTTTTCATGAGGAAATTCAAGACATTTTCTTCATCCAATAAACTTTATCTGACAGAGAGTTTCAGCGTACAGATAAAGAAGTCCAGTAATAAACAAATGCATATAACTACACTGAAGCGTACCAACATTTCTCACAGTCACAAACACGAATTACCAACAAGACATTTATTGTTTTCTTTGGTATACGCACAATTTACATGCTGTACTGTACCCCATGCTGCGGTCTGTGCTTCCGCAAAAGTCACCTACTCCTTCAAGTCTTTAACTCATATTTTACAAATATATATATAATACTTTGAAAAAAAGACATGATGAAAAGATTTTTTACAATGAAATGAAAAAAGGAAAGGGTAATAAATTTACATAGAAATGCATAGTCTGAAAAGTAAAGAGGTGTGTTGCTCTTTTGTTCAAACACACCAGGAGAGAGGAGAAGAAAGCAAGATGGAAAAGAAAAAAAGAAAATTTGTGAGTATCGTCCAGTAATGTTCCATGACTGCGTAGATCCATCTATGGTGGCGCCGACCCATTAGTGCATCTAAACAAGCTCTGGGACCAATGGGATTCTACAGGATGGGAAACAAAACAGCAACACACCATTTTCCTTGACATAAAAAAAAAAAACTGTTAAAATTTAAGGGTTTAGAAATATTAAATTTTATTTGTAACTCTGTAGTTTGAATTGTAAGTAAAACATAACCAAGGCTGTGGCTTTTATATGAAAAAATCCTTTTTATCTACCTAGCAAAACAAGTTATTGAATATTATTTATTTATAAAAAAGTTAACCAATGATGAAACACCGTGTTAAACCTAAATGATGGGGCTCTAGAGCCTTCCTACCTTGTGTTGGCCCTAAACAAGCTCCTGTAATGGGGTCACAAGGTATTCCAGGTCCACAGTTGCATGTGGGTTCAACAATTGCTGAAAACACAAATTAATTTTTGTAAAATAACACTTAAAATTCAACTTCAACCAATGATCAAATAACAAAGGCATTTGAATATTGAGTTTGTGAAGTAGGAATCCTTAACTTGGCCAAACGAGTTTGTTTCTTAAGTCAGGTAACTGCATCCCTTAGAATTACAATGTAATCAATTCTGCCATCTGAGTCAAATTACCATAGTTACCATCCTCTTGACCGTTGACCATTTCTGGATAGGTCGCGTCAGTAATCAAACTTCAAATAAAATCAAACAAACAATTTAATACAATTGCTATCTAGCTGATTAGAATATCAACAAGAGTAAAATAGTTTTTATCCAGAACGAGGAATGAGATACTTGTATCATATGCAATCATCCAGCCAACTGTTGGAGTTGAAAAAGAACAGGGAAAAATTAAGAAATGTAATTGTGTAAAAAGCTCAATGGTGACAGTTTCTTAGTTTCACATGATTCTATCTATTTCAACTGACAACCACATTTAACTCATCCAACAAAAGATTAACTGAAAGTCAAACTGACAACAAACAATTTAATTTAAAAGTTTACGTTTAGCAACAAATAGATCAATTTAGCCTTTTTTATTTAAAGTCCAAGTTAAAATAATCTGTGTTAGAGTAACCTGTTGGTGTGGTAGTAACAAATTTAATCAAATGATCTTTATTCATATCTGTAAATACATATTTACATGAATAGTGTTGTACAAGAAAGTTTAATAAAATGGACAGCAAGAATATTACATATTTGGGCAGCAGCACACTATAACTATAACACAATAATCGTGATTAGTAGGCCACTATTAATCTTACAACTACCAGTTATGCTATTTACTAAATTTCAAAATATACCATTTGTTTAGAGTTGAAAAATTCATCGAATGAATAAACTGCCCTTTGAATCAATAATACTTTCAGTTTCACCCTGACACCTATATCATCCTGCACGCGTCTTATGTGATCTGGTATGTGATTTAGGAATCTGATACAATTGTATGAAGTCTTTCTCTTAAACAATTCTAATTTATGACTTGGTAATAAAACGTTATTTTTATTCCTAGTATTATAGCTGTGGATAGCTTTGTTTGTAATACAACTATTTATATAATATTTTACAATCATCATGCATTCTAAAATATATAAGATGTAAACCGTTAGAATCTTTAACTCAGTAAAGTAAGTTTGGACAAGTTCATTGTTTTTGATATTTAATATGGCCCTTAGTGCCCTTTAATGTCCTATTATTATCTTTGTGAAATTTTGAGCGGATGTTCCTCCGTAGATACAGATCCCATTACACCAAAACACTCTCTAGTTATACCTATACACGTGGCTGTGTGTTGCTGTATGTAATGAACATTTGAAAGTAACACACACAAAATATTTAAGTAAATATTGTATTTTGTATTTAAGTTTATAATGATATAATTACAGTATGAAAATTATCCTGTGGAAAAAACAAGTGATTTATTTAAGCATTATTTTAATAATCAAGCATAATTTCTTCCATTATCAAAAGTGTACAGATGCAGGCATGAGTATAAAATTGTAAATGTTGGTGATTCTCATATGGTTCATGATTTTACTAATTAATATGTACATTTAAGAAAATAACACATTTAATAAGCTAGATAAAATGTAATGAGTTTTTTGGAACTAAATTGATTTTATATAAACTATAGAGGCTCAGTTTACTAAGTATTAACCAACAATACTCACAATCTGCGATGCAAGCACAACCATCACATCGGAAACTAGGTCTACAGTCTGATGAGTGTTGACATTCACATACTGTAACAGAACCAAGGAACAAACAATTTAAAAATCTAGGCAAGTTATTAAAACTGTTTAAAATATTATAAAACTCTAAATTTAACAAACTGAAGTAGATATAACGTAAACTGAAGCACACAAGAACAACACTGTGTCAATGTCTAACATTTTAACAGAATGGGTTTACCTAGCTATACAAATTACTACTACTATTTCAAACTTATGAATAAACTTAGTTATAATTTCCATTCAATTATATACAATTATATATGATGAGGTAACAATGTTACAAATCAGTCATAATTTAAAAGCTAACGATGTGATGATATGCCTCACCTTTGACACAGACAGTGTTATGGTGGTCTACTTGACATGTGTGGTGAGGACTGCAAGGGTTTGTCACGTGACAAGGGTTCTGACAAGCTCCATTAATACATGATTGTTGGTGTGAGCATTCATCATTGGAGACACAGCCAAGCGCTGCAATTTTACCAAACACTTATTTTTATTTAATTTAAGAGATTATAAATTCTGTAAAATCCTTATCATACTCCTCTCAATAAAACAGATTCAATAGAATAACTGACTGTAAGTCTAGTTGTTCTAATTTATTTATTTCTGAATTAATGTTTTGTTTGTAAAAGTAGTAACAATAGCTTTTGCTAACTTGAAAGCAAAGTACTTGTGAAGTATGACCAGGTGAGCAAAGTCTAACAATTTATTGTATGATATGGGCTGTTACAAGCTTTAGTTTCTTTATGGAAAATCTTGCAACTGTAAATAATCTGAGTATATAATCTTTTTTGTGTTCAAGTCATGGACACCAGTCATGGCGGGTTCTTTAAAATTCCTCCTTACAAACTAATTGTAATGGACCATTAGGATTAGTCTAATCAAACTTTTATTAAACAAAAATAAATAGTTGACCTAAATCAAAGGATAGCATTACACTTAATACTAATTTGTAACACATGTAAAACACAGTATAACTGACACACCAAACCTGCTACCACCTCTACCACCAAAATACTACCACAAGTACCTATTTGAAGAGAAACAACAAAAAATTAAGTTTTCATTCCTAGAGCAGGGCATTTGTCCAGTTGCTATTTAAATTCTGAAGATGAAGAGAAATTCTGAAAATAAAGTTATGTAAAGTTTAAAAGGATACAGTAACATGCAAAGATAGCATTGTGTAAAGTTTTTCACAAGTAAAAAAGATGGTGGCGGTCAACATCCATCAGCGTAAGAAAGAGTATTCATTGCAACAGAATATGACCAGAGAGTCCACTGAAGACAGCAGCAGTATACAGATTATTCCTGCAAGAATGCAAAGCCCACAAACATGTTTATAAAGTTTCATACAATTGTAGCTATAAAAGACAATTTAAGTCAATCTTTACACAGAAAACATGTAAATAACAATAACAAGTTGTATAACTGCTGTAGCTGTTAAATTCATGCTTCATTAAATTCATGATGATTCAGACAGCAATTTCATTCAGGAAATGGTAGATTAAAATTCAAAATAAAAAAGCTAATACACTATGATATTGCAAAATGCATTCATAAGCTGTCTTAAGATTTAGGAATGAAACATTATCTACCACCAGAAATAAACATAAATTTAGATACATTCAAAGGATATGCTTTCCAAGCCTACCACACAGTGTCATGTATTGTGTGTATGTACAATGGAGCATCAACGGAGAGTACACGATGCTGGAATGATGCTCAATAAGTGTTCTAGTGTTTACCTGGTGTTGTATTACACCTCTGCGATCCTGCGGTCTGCATCACGTGTGAACACAAGCAAACCACTTCGTGATCAATGGTTTTACATACAGTACCGTTTTGACAAGGACTCAAAGTGTTACAGCGGTTAAAACATTTAAAATCAATACAGCTTTCTGAAGACAAACAGTGTTTATTATGTGAACATGGTGCTAAGAAATATGTGGTGGGCAACGTTGCTTCGCTAGAAACAATACCAGAAGTAGTTTCATAGCCTATCCTGTGATTGTGTGCCGTCCCCGAAAATGATTGATCCTTCCCGATTTTAAAACCAGTGCTAGATATGTCAGAGTAGCCTGAAACAGACTGTGAACTTAGTGAAATAGTGGAATGTGTTGAGTGAATATCTGATGACAATGTAGAGTAATATTCAGTAGTTTTTGCGGTAACTAACTCGCCTGGTATTAATGTCCTTAGATCCAGGTCTTCTTCACCAGTCATAGTGTTGTAACCAATCGTTGTTGTAGTTGGCTTATCACTTTCTACAGTTGGAATATACTTATCAGTAGTAGGTTTGGTTTCAGGTAATCTGCTAGATGATGTACTATCTTTATCAACAACTGTTGTTGAGTAAAGAGGGTATGTTTGAGTTGTATCATTATTAGCAGTTGTTCTGTATAAAGTAGTTGGTTCTGTACTAGAATCCTGTGTTGTAGGCATTGTTGAGTCTTCTGGGTTTTGTGATAGCAAAATATATGTTGTTTCTAGTGATTCTGGTTTATTTGTTGTAGTAGCTACTGTTTTATCTTCTAATGAGACTTTGTCCCTTAACGTAGTAGGGGATTCATAAGTCTTCTTTGAAGTTACATACATATCGTTGTTGGTAGTAAATTCATTATTCTCTTCCAAAGTAGTTGTTGGTAAACCTTCTTTTGGCGTTGTTGCCTTAGTAATAGGTATATCATAAACAAAAGTACTTTCATGAACTTCAGCAGATACTGTGCTTTTCTCAGACATTTTTGTGGTTTGTGGTACCTTTTCTGTAGAAGTATATTCCTCACTATCCGTAGTGTATGTATTTCGACCTTGATTTGCCTCGGTAACATTTTCAAGTGTTCCTTCAGTAATTTCTGTAGGATACTGTGTTCCAACAGAGCTAGTGATTTGTATTTTTTCAAAATCTGATGACAATGTAGAGTGATATTCAGTAGTTCTTTCTGTAACTAATTCGCCTGGTATTAATGTCCTTAGATCCAGGTCTTCTTCACCAGTCATAGTGTTGTGACCAATCGTTGTTGTAGTTGGCTTATCACTTTCTACAGTTGGAATATACTTATCAGTAGTAGGTTTGGTTTCAGGTAATCTGCTAGATGACGTACTATCTTTATCAACAACTGTTGTTGAGTAAAGAGGGTATGTTTGAGTTGTATCATTATTAGCAGTTGTTCTGTATAAAGTAGTAGGTTCCGTCCTAGAATCCTGTGTTGTAGGCATTGTTGATTCTTCTGCCTTTTGGGATGGTAAAATTATTGTTGTTGTTTTAAATGATTCTGGTTTATTTGTTGTAGTAGCTACTGTTTTATCTTCTAATGAGACTTTGTCCCTCAACGTAGTAGGGGATTCATAAGTCTTCCTTGAAGTTACATACATATCATTGTTGGTAGTAAATTCATTATTCTGTTCCAAAGTAGTTGTTGGTAAACCTTCTTTTGGCGTTGTTGCCTTAGTAATAGGAATATCATAAACAAAAGTACTTTCATGAACTTCAGCAGATACTGTGCTTTTCTCAGGCATTTTTGTGGTTTGTGGGACCTTTCCTGTAGAAGTATATTCTTCACTTTCCGTAGTGTATGTATTTCGACCTTGATTTGCCTCGGTAACAATTTCAAGTGTTCCTTCAGTAATTTCTAAAGGATACTGTGTTCCAACAGAGCTAGTGATTGGTATTTTTTCAATATCTGATGACAATGTAGAGTGATATTCAGTGGTTCTTTCTGTAACTAACTCGCCTGGTATTAATGTCCTTAGATCCAGGTCTTCTTCACCAGTCATAGTGATGTGACCAATCGTTGTTGTAGTTGGCTTATCACTTTCTACTTTTGGAATATACTTATCAGTAGTAGGTTTGGTTTCAGGTAATCTGCTAGATGATGGACTATCTTTATCAACAACTGTTGTTGAGTAAAGAGGGTATGTTGGAGTTGTATCATTATCAGCAGTTATCCTGTATAAAGTAGTAGGTTCTGTACTAGAATCCTGTGTTGTAGGCATTGTTGAGTCTTCTGGGTTTTGTGATGGCAAAATATATGTTGTTTCTAGTGATTCTGGTTTATTTGTTGTAGTAGCTACTGTTTTATCTTCTAATGAAACTTTGTCCCTCAACGTAGTAGGGGATTCATAAGTCTTCTTTGAAGTTACATACATATCATTGTTGGTAGTAAATTCATTATTCTCTTCCAAAGTAGTTGTTGGTAAACCTTCTATTGGCGTTGTTGCCTTAGTAATAGGTATATCATAAATAAAAGTACTTTCATGAACTTCAGCAGATACTGTACTTTTCTCAGGCTTTTTTGTGGTTTGTGGGACCTTTTCTGTAGAAATATGTTCCTCACTTTCCGTAGTGAATGTATTTCGACCTTGATTTGCCTCGGTAAAATTTTCAAGTGTTCCTTCAGTAATTTCTGTAGGATACTGTGTTCCAACAGAGCTAGTGATTGGTATTTTTTCAATATCTGATGACAATGTAGAGTGATATTCAGTAGTTCTTTCTGTAACTAACTCGCCTGGTATTAATGTCCTTAGATCCAGGTCTTCTTCACCAGTCATAGTGTTGTAACCAATCGTTGTTGTAGTTGGCTTATCACTTTCTACATTTGGAATATACTTATCAGTAGTAGGTTTGGTTTCAGGTAATCTGCTAGATGATGGACTATCTTTATCAACAACTGTTGTTGAGTAAAGAGGGTATGTTGGAGTTGTATCATTATCAGCAGTTATCCTGTATAAAGTAGTAGGTTCTGTACTAGAATCCTGTGTTGTAGGCATTGTTGAGTCTTCTGGGTTTTGTGATGGCAAAATATATGTTGTTTCTAGTGATTCTGGTTTATTTGTTGTAGTAGCTACTGTTTTATCTTCTAATGAAACTTTGTCCCTCAACGTAGTAGGGGATTCATAAGTCTTCTTTGAAGTTACATACATATCATTGTTGGTAGTAAATTCATTATTCTCTTCCAAAGTAGTTGTTGGTAAACCTTCTATTGGCGTTGTTGCCTTAGTAATAGGTATATCATAAATAAAAGTACTTTCATGAACTTCAGCAGATACTGTACTTTTCTCAGGCTTTTTTGTGGTTTGTGGGACCTTTTCTGTAGAAATATGTTCCTCACTTTCCGTAGTGAATGTATTTCGACCTTGATTTGCCTCGGTAAAATTTTCAAGTGTTCCTTCAGTAATTTCTGTAGGATACTGTGTTCCAACAGAGCTAGTGATTGGTATTTTTTCAATATCTGATGACAATGTAGAGTGATATTCAGTAGTTCTTTCTGTAACTAACTCGCCTGGTATTAATGTCCTTAGATCCAGGTCTTCTTCACCAGTCATAGTGTTGTAACCAATCGTTGTTGTAGTTGGCTTATCACTTTCTACATTTGGAATATACTTATCAGTAGTAGGTTTGGTTTCAGGTAATCTGCTAGATGATGTACTATCTTTATCAACAACTGTTGTTGAGTAAAGAGGGTATGTTT